AAATGCAATTGCCGGCTTTTGTAAATTGTAATTTTTGGCTCTTCCGTATCAAAAGGTTGCCGACCTCTGGAGAGCAATGAAGTAGATATAATGCTGAAAAACTGATTCAAACCAACTATGCCCACCAAGTGATTGTTCAGTTTCTATCGATGTTTTGCCACCTTTATATGAACTCACAATTGCGCTATGTGGTTAACACTCTACCAACTTTCATTAACATGGAAAAACCTTGTATAGCCATATATGTTACCTATTGTAAGTAGTGTATGTATTGTACAACCATTGCCCTTATGTATCCCACAAAACACCTATATCGTTCAAAAAATATTCCTAACAGGATAACCTGATACTTGGATTACACATATAGTTGAAACGCTACTGAGAGGATTACCTCTAACAATTCTATAGAGCGAAATCATGACTTGTCCATCGGCCATTGTCATCCATTCCATAGGATTACGCTTGCAGGTACCTGGCAGCTACTATAACAGAAAGCAACATGCACCAGTAAAAATAGAATGCATTTACCAATTAATATATTGCTGTAATATGCAGGTACCCGGATAGTGTATACCAATCCGAATAGAAGTTCGCTCCACAAACATAATCAGTCCAGTAAGAGAGCGATGGTGGGCAGTCCGTAATATTGTAGTATTAACTCAGCGATTGTCAAACTTTCACCATCCGTGCTCAACATTTTCATTCACTTTATCATGGTGTCTTACTCTTTTTAATATTCGACTACTCATCATAAACTATTATTTAATTAGCATGTGGACTTTACAGTGCGTCATCATTAAGCAGCTCACCTACAAAGTAAAACAACTCTGACCCAAAAACTTAATGACAAAACAAAGTAGAACAAACAAAATATAAAAAATCGCAAGCCATATATCCATGTATAAATCACACATCAATTCAAATGTATTCAGTGTACTTTGCACAAGATCCGCAAGGTATTGTTTTTCGCTGGTGCCCACAATTACACTGAGGGGAATCAGCTCTGAACCAGGAATGCAGAGAATCTGCACACTTTCCATATTCTGTCCTATGTCGGTTAAGCTTCGAGGCAGATCTGATTCATTCAAGCTTTGAGTTGGATCACTTAGCTGGATGAAGTCATTTGAAGAAGCCTGTACCTACACTGCATGGCACTCAGTAGAGATGAGGAAGCTTTAACCAACTTTCGTGACGGTCGTTACTAAATATCTGGATTTAAACCGATTGATGTGTAAATCGGTACTTGTTTGCTAGCCAAAAATTTATTATATTCTCCCATTAAGGCTGCGGTTCTGTGGATATACGGTGGTGATATGTAATTAAAACAGGGATAGCCAACGAAGTGATGTTAATCGAATGACCATTCCCGGGATGCTGTTTATATATTAATTACCTGTCGAGCGTTATTCTCAGGGATTTGAGATATCTATTTGATTTTAAGACTGTTACTGAACTCCACATCTAGAGTTTCATTTGCCTGCCGATTGGAAAGGTGGAAACAACAAACTTCCGTTTTTGCTCCACTTGGGCATAACCTCTAACTCTTTAAATGATCGCCAGGCTCACAGAGAGCTTTTTGAAGTGCTTGATCTGTAGCTGATTTTATTTTGTAATGATATGAAATAGCTAGGTCATCTGCGTATGCAAATTTCTTGCACCTTGTCTCAGGAAGATCACCTATTTAGAGATTAAAATTAATTGGAGCAGACACAGAACCTTGTACTTCTTCTTCTGCTATTTCCTCTATTTGAAAGCACATGCTGCTTGGCTGAGATGTCTTCAAACAAGTAACCACTCAAATAAGATTATAAGTTAACCTGACAATGTCGAATGCTGCCATCAAGTCAATGAACGCTACAGATGTTTTCAATCCTTGAAATCCCGCCTCAATGTGGGTAGAACTTGGTCGGTACAACTGCGACCACTACAGAAACCGGCCTGCTCTTTCGGGGTTATATATTTATGAGAGATCTTATACGGTTGTGTAATAGTTCTAATAGCAGCAGCTATGGACGACTGTTGGTCAATAACTCTCCGGAAGCTCCTTAGTTTTACCTAACTTCAAGATAGTGATAGTTTTGGTTCTTTTATGCCCAAATCAAAAACATCGACGTTAAGCTTTGCAAACCAACGGAGAGTTCTTGGTTTAATTCAAATTAGAGGTAATCCATATCGAAGCCTCTCCCTTTCTCAGTTTTCGTATCTTTAAGGATCTGATTTATTTTTCCAATAGAAAAGTTACGTGAATGCTCTGAAAAATATGGAGTGAGCCTGTTTGACTACCTTGATCCGTTTGATTTTTTTATTGAACGAATTTTTTTCAGTGGATGCCACTTGTGCTGAAAGTAGTCATTTATGAACTGATGACGACGGTGCGTAGGAAGTGTAGAATCAACCTTCTAGACGCCATTTTTTTTCATTTCAAGATTATTTTTCCAACCAAAAAGTCAGTAGTTGGTTGTATATGAGTAAAAATAAGGGTATTACTTCAATTAATTCACACGGTATGTTGACGCCCATGTCTCTATGAAGAGTCCACGGACTGCCCCAGCGTTTGGGAAACACTGGTATAACTTCTTTGAATTCAGTTAATTTGTCGCTAAAAGCCAATTTCGTTGTTGTAAATGATTGAGGTAGCTGTGGATGGCAGTTTCACTCCAGAAATTATTCATGACACATTTGTAGCTTTACCTATTAGACACTGTCATATGAATGGCTGTTGTCGAATCGATTAGAAGATGGAATAACGCTGATTTTGCGAATAGTACGAATAGGAAGGTCTTAAAAGAAAAACACTGCAACTACCAGCACTCTTACATCAGAATATTTTAATGATTTCTTTTGCCCAAATAGCCAATAATATTATTCAGGGAATACCTGCTACATACTGTGACCCTATCAGTAATATTCAAAATAAAGATATTTCCGTATTTTCATCTGGAGAAGTAACATTTAACGAATTACGACACCTGATCGATAATTTAAAGAATAGGCCGAGTTGTGACATTTATGGCCTGAATTTAAAATTAATAAAAACAATAGATCACATAATCTTATTACCCCTAACTCACCTCATTAATATGTGCTTAAAAGCAACATATTTGCAGACTGTCACAAGATGGCTCTAGTTAAACCAATTTTAAAAAAGGTGATCTTACATTTCCAGGAAATGACATATCAATATCTCCTCTACCAAGTATTGCTAAAATATTGGGAAAATACATGGCCGTTCAAATCATAGAATTCTTTGAGACAAATGGGTATTTTTTTGAAAAGTAGTATGGTTTTAGAGCAAACAGAAAAACGACTGATGCAATCCTTGATCTACTGTCAGGTGTGATGGACGGTTTTCACCCGAGGCAATACAGTTCCGTTCGGTTCTGTGACCTGGGTAAAGAAGTCGTTTGCTTCAATCACAACATTCTTCTGAGAAAATTGGCTTGCGCAGCTTTCCCCAATAGCGTAGCAATGATAGAGTCCTATCTGCAAGAGAAATATCAAACAGTAAAGCCTGATGGTGAGAGGTCTGCAAAGAGTAAGATATCTGGTTTTATTCCAACAAGTTGTTGCCAAATGGAGAAAAGACTATAAGGAAGTTGTGTTTTCTACCAGAGAAATAAACATCCAAAATGAAGATCAAGTTGAATTTTTGGGTGTGAAATCCTGAGTTTCCATGGAAAAGCCACTATCCATGAAACTTAGAATATTAATATCCTCAGCAACTTAATGCGACTAGTGTCGCCAAATATACTCCGAATTTGTTACTTCCCAATATTTCAATCGCACATAGGAAATGCAATTATTGTTTGGGGCGACTCGCCTGAGGCAGCTAGAGTGTTTAGGCTGCCCGGTAGATTGATACCAGGGAAATACACCGATGATTGCAAGCATGTGTTTATTGAATGGAAGCTTCTTGCTGTGCCAAGTCTGTATGAGTATGAGTGACTGATCTTTGCCAAGACAAAAGGAGTTCTATACCAAACCTTCGAAGATGTTCACGAATATAACACCACAAATAAGAGAAATTTGATCTCTTTATAAGTAGTGGCGACTGAGAAGGTGTCAAGGTGATTTCCACTAAATGTAAGATCACTACCTTTAAATGATTGTAAGTTTCGTATTAGACATTTTTTGATCCAAAATGATTTTTGCAAAATTGATAATTTTCTAAATACTGATTTTAATGTATTGTAATAGTTCAAAACTCTCAAGAGTGATGTACCATCTAAGTGGCATTTACGCTGTATGTAGATATTTTTTTTCTGTGTTATGACGATTGTGAACAATTTTTTGTACTAGCATGGATAAATGAAATAAAATGGAATATATATATACAGGTGTAGAAACTTTGAAGCTAGACATTCTTTCCTTAACAAGCAAGATAAAAACTATGTGATGGGAATGGAATCTAATATGATCAAAGATATAACTTTGTCTGGAAAGAAAACTTGGAGATCCATAAGCAAGAAACTCACAAGATAAATTTTATATGTCACAATAATCAAAGATATTTTCTTTTATGTAAAGCTTCCCAACATTGTTTGTACAACCTTGCATTCGCAAAAGAAAGCTTTCTTTGAGTAACTTATTATCAGCTGTCCACTTATGCTATGACCTTATCTGTATTACTCCGAACTGTTCAATAGTGCACTAGCTTTGCAGAAGAAACACATATGCGGCAGTAGATGGATGCTCTGAGGTAACCAAAAATATTGAATGAGAAGGCCCCATGAATGAGCATATAAATGAGAGTTAACTGCTTGAAGCAGGTGGCCTCTGAACATTTTTAACATATTTGGTTGAAGAAGAGTTTCAAACATTACATTTACTGTTGGTTCAATGGCCTTTTTAAGAATAGGGATTTGATTCCGTCCTTCCCTTCGTGAGGACTTAACAACCATCCACATGTTGGTGTATGATAATATTTACTATTTGTTTATCATTTGTATTTGTATTCGAATAAAAAAAAGATGGTTTTTGTTATTTTGTCCATGTTTGGGATCTTGAGAAGATTAGCTTCGATTAATTAACACTTTCTTGTTCTCTTCCAGAACGACTGAATGTGCTTTACGAAAAGAACTGGACCAAGCTAGTAACTGAGCAACTGAAGAGATTTGAAAGGGCCGTTATAGCGTCGGGGAGAATCGATGGAACTGTCAGCGATGTTCAGTCGCATTGGACTTTTGGAGGCGCGCTGTTCTACTCAATAACATTGCTCACAACTATAGGTATGATAATGACCACTTGATGCATGCTTTAAGTGCTTACTCTGTTTTGAAGGTATAGGTACAGCTGGACATTTTCTCATGTGTTTTCGCCTAATCATGTCAGTAACATTATAGCTAGTAAGACCTAGTATAGTAGTAGGATTCAAGTCAATGTATACTTGAAAATTAGGAGGCTGATGAGAATGCCTTTTTTTTAGAAGACCGAGATCAATAGTACTCCATGGTCTAGCCGCATTAAGCCGCATACCACTAACGTCGTAATGTGTACGAGAGAGAAGTGCAAGGAACATACAATACGTGTGCTAGAAAGAGATAGGAGCACCACGTTGCCTAGCATCTCGAGCGTCGAGGCCACGGACGCCATCGGCGCACGCCTTCTAACACGCTTCTCGTGCTTTTCTCTCGTACACATTACGACGTCAGGCACATTTAAATCTCACCGCAAATGTATACGTTTTAATGTCTATTTATTATATGTACAATTATTTTCAGTATATCTTTGGCAGGCTTCGACTCCCCACGACTACTACTACAGTATATTTTTGTTCATCTGCCCTCATGATTCATTGATTTTGTCTTTCCTTCGTTCATATACACGTGCAGTGTATTGCGACAATGGATTGAACTACCCAAGTAGCACCATAAAAAAAGCCTTAAACCTATTTCTCTATCTTTATTTGAACCCGCTTTCTTGAATGTCATAGCCTGTATATTAAAACTAAACGCTCTTAATGAATTTAGTTGTCGTAAAGACTAACTATACTTAGAAACAGTAAAACTAAATTAATTCCCTCTCCTCTCGTATCCAAAATAAATGCCGTCTTTTGTTTGGAGTGGTGTAGTATTGTTGAATGTAGCAATTTTATTGTTAAGAATGACTCATCGAATTTAGGGTTGCATTTACAAAAAAGTAATAAATCACCAACTCAAAGTCGTAATTCCAATTTATTTTGACATTAAAAGATTTAAAATCAGTTCACATTTATGGATAAAGTCGAGCGCCGAAGTACGCTGACAGTCCGAAATAACCATCTGCTTTTCATTATTTTATACTCACAGATACGTACCCATAGGCAATACATATTAAAATTTGTTGGCCTACTAATAAGTTAACAATAAGGTGAATTATCTTCAAAAGTATGCATTTAATAAACATTATTATTAAGTTTAGGATGTATTTGTTTAAGCTTGTTCTAAAAGTACCTGTTCAGTAGATATAACAACAGTTGCCTTTTGGTTTTGGTTTTATAGGCCGCTTTCAGTGCGAGCTCAGTTATGCTGAATGGAAGTTCATTAAAACGTTTAAGTTTATTTAAAAACCGATTGATTTTAATTGCAGTTTTATTTCAGTTTTAGTGCATCCTTAACAAAATCCGTTTGGTGCTTCTTGGGTATGTTGTAGCATATCGAGATCGTGGGAAGCCATACTTAGAATTATAAGATGGCACCGCATGCACGGGGTTGTCTGTCGTTTTTTAATATACCCTCGCTCATCGTCTCGAAACACCAAAAACGCCCTCCGAAAAAACAAACATCCAGATCTGTTGTCACAATATACCGGTTAAATGTTGTGTAATCTTTGACTACTAATGCTGCATGTGTGCGACCCTGCGCAAAACACTTTATTCAGAAGAATGTCAAGTGAACATCAGGAGTGGGAGGGGATAGTAGGAAACTCTCAACCCAAGAGTATACTGGTGGGATCTTACAGTTCCAACAACGTACTATGATTGAGTAGAGGAACGTTACAGGAATTACTTAAATTTTTTACTAGTCGCAACTGGAAAGCATACCCTACTCTATATTCAAAACATGTAACATCACTTCGTTGATATTTGTAAACGGGTATTCCTACTAATATTACAAATGAGAAAGTGTAAACGTTTGTTATTCAATACGTCGAAATGGCCGAACCGATCAGGACGAAACTTAATACGGAGATAGAATACCATATGAGCTATTCTTTAACCCGAGAAATATTTATTTTACTGGCAAAATAATTGTGAAGTCTGGTTTTATTGATGCAAGTTGTTCAAGGTAGTATTTAAAACAAGGACGCATAAAATGGGTACACCAATTTTTGTAGGAAAGCTTTTTATTTGACAACAAAGATTGAGAAAACGTGTTTTTGGGATTCAATGGGAAGTGTTGGCAGAAACGGAAAAACTTTTCATATGAGATTTTTAGGTATTTATGAGACCTACAAAATGAGACCACACGTAAAAAGATCCGACTAAGAGCAAAAATGTTATGGCCGAAAAACGAGGCACAATGCAGGTTTTGGCCCTTGTTGGTAATGCGACGATAATTTCATGCAACAAGTTGAAACTCGTCAAATCCGTAGGATCCATACTTCTGGATAACAATAACAAAATTTACTGAATTTTGACATTTGTTTTCTCAACGTGACATCTTGATTTATATTTGTTTGGTGTTTTCATTTACTTCAATTATAATACTGGAAATAAAAAGCTATTGAGGTAGGACATCTTAAGATATGTCATACAGGCTGTGAGATACCTCACGTATTATTTATTGTAATTTCACATTTGATATTAAGTTATTGATGTATTAAAATGTTAAATAAAGAAATGTAACTATTGCGTTTCCTGGCTGAGCAGCAACGATTAGACATTGCGACCAACATACATTATATCTACAAATTATCTTCCTATTTCTATCAAGTGAGTATTACGTATACGTCTAGATAATCCCAAGACCTTAACTTTTTAGGTTATGGAAGACTGTCTCCTAGAACAGCCATGGGCAAAGCAGTCGCCGTAATATATGCCTTCATAGGAGTACCTCTAATGCTAGTGCTTTTATCAGCACTTGGTAGTCTTCTAGCATCTGGAGCAAGAAAAGGATATTCCAAATTTTGTTGCCTAAGTCATAGAAAAGCGACGAAAAGTCCATCCGTTGGGTATCATAAAGCTCCTTCCAGTCCGTCAAACAAACGATACTGCAAAAATCATGATGGTAAGTTGATTGACTCACTATTGCCAGTTATTCAGATAAAATATTTGAGACTTGCACCCCTGAGATGTCTGTCTTAAGACGTTTATTAAATCCAGCAGACCTCAAAATTAGGTTTTTCAGATCTAAGATTGCCACTTTGAACAACTCTCGTAATCTTTTCGAATAATACTTACCACCAGTGGCGCTCCCAGGAGTTAAGTCTGGGAGGGGTAAAATGGAACATGAACGAAATTGGATCCTTTAGGTTTCGCACCCGATTGTTCAACACTTGGTTCAGCATACGTTGCCACAACAAGAAATTTTGAAGTGGAAGGCTCAGGTTGAATTGTAGGATTATCATCAGTTTTTTCCGGTTATTTTTGTGCCGGTGGATCAGATAGTTTGTTTTGTTTAGAAAGGATCCAATCGATGGTATTCTGTTTCCTTTTACTCATCCTGACAACAGCAGCTGCCAACTTGCACTAAAAGTACACAAATATTGTCAAATAAACGCATCTCATGTATCTCATAACAAGGAACCTTTTCTGTTTGGAAATCAAGATGTCTTAAGTTCACTCAATTGTCAAAAACTAACTATATAATTTGCCAACTCGGACGAACGAAATGCACTGAAGTGCTTATATACAGGGACTTCCGAGACAAAATAGACATAGATAATAATGATAACTGGAGTAAGGACCAAACACTTCGTAATTGAAATTATATTAATTTTCCACTTTTCCGTCTGTCATTTTTTTTTTAGATACGATTCTTTTATAGTATAAAAATTAAAAACAAACAAAAATTAATTTTCTGGCTTATGCGTGGAAAATAAAAAATCAATAGAACATAGAAAATAGCGTTAATACCAACCAGATCAACAAAACTCTGCTTGTTCAGTTTTCAGCCAAATTTTGTTGCGGACTCCGGACTGGTACAAAATTTAGACCCCCCCCCCCCCCCCCCCCCCGGTGGGAACGTCAGTGCTTACCACTCGGCTGTCCATTTTAGCAAACAGATATACCTACTTTAAGGTTATACCAAGTTGTTTTGCAAGCAGTAGTAAGCCACTGAACGCATCGATGGTAAAAATAGAAATGCCTCTTACCTTATCAAGAACTCGGACCGTGAATCTCAAGAGCTCGCTTGTTCTGTGAGCAGTATATTGGATTTTTGTGTTATTGTTTCTTGGGAAAAAAATATTTATACCAATAAATGACATGTCATAGGTACGCTAGAAGGAAGAACTTTTAGCGTCGCATTATCGTCGACCTTTCAGGTAAATGTCATTCCTATAGTTGAAACCATATAGACGATAATAACTACATCAACGCGTCCGCGTTTTCCGAGTCCTAAACGATGTGTAAAAGTCAACGTTTGTTGTCGCTATCATATATTAGCTCTAAATGACTACTTTTGGAATGACGGAACATTCATTCAGTCACTCTCCATTACCCCAAACTATCCGAATCTCTATACTCGTGAGTAGCATCTGGCTTGGTTGTTGTTGTTTTGGAACAGGGAGCTCAATGTGACAGTCATAAGGTCGAGCTACAGCATCATCGTATTTGGAGGCAGGGACTTGAAACGGGGTTCGCAAGGTATTGGAGTTTAGGAAACATTTAATTTTCAACTAAGCTAAATCGCGCAATATCAACCGTACCGCGTAGGGCCTTAAAAGATCGTTATCTGGTAGCTAACTTATAAGATCCACAGGTAACTTGTTTTCGTAATTAACTTTATGAAAACAGCAGTTATCGTTAAACCTGTAAGTTGTCACCTCGGTAACTAGCACTGAGAGGCCTACGCGTGGGATCAAACGTATCAAAAGAGAATTGTCAGTTATGCAATAACAATCTTTGTTATGAATTGCATGTTCAAGCAAGCCTTATTATGCCTTGTCGTGGATTTCACTTTTTTGAACATTCAAACATTTTGCAAGTAGAACATCTCGGAGACAGAGTCATCCTGAAGCCAGTTGCCAGTGTACATATTTGTGGTTATTTGCAGACTTGGCATCCATCCAATTGATGCCCACAGCGGCCCTGCACGCCCACACGAACAATCACCACCACTGCGTGAAGAGCACGCCACTCATGGACCACCAGGAAATGCCAAAACGCGCCATCTTGGCTACTGTGAGGGCTCCACGAACACGAGGAGGGCGGTGCAGACAGGGGACGGTACGACAGACCTTGATGGATGCGCCGCCCATAATTTGCCCTGCCCATCCACAGAAACCAATCAAAAACCACGCTACGCTCAACTCGTCAATCGTCGGGATCGCCACCACAGCGGATTTGGATGATCCGGATGATACAGATGATAATGAACATAGGTAAGGTTCGAGTCACAGGATCTATTTACCTGTTTTGCTTTGAGTGTTGCTTAAATCATTCCAGCGATTCAAAAAGTCAAGACACACTCAGTTTATCATCATGGGCGCCCGCACGGTGACCAGGAGGACCGTGGTGAAAATCGTATAAACGTCAAGAAAGGTATGATTAACCTATACATGTATTTCAGCCATGACACTCCATCCCGCATTCCACTTATCTGGAGACCTCCGGATGCCAATTCGACGGGCAGTAGATCACCTGTCCATCAGCAATCAACGCCATCTGTGCCAGGACTGTTAGTCCTGCTGCTATTCGTTTGCTATGTCTGCGCAGGAGCAGCTACATTTTCGTCAATACATAGTGAGTACTTTTTCTGACAGAATCAAAAAACAAATAAAATATATTTGTTGTTTTAATTTATTCAAAAATATAATCAATTTGAGGAATATTTCTTTCTTTATCTCTATTTACAACTTGCTAATTTACAAAATGTAGGTCCCATTTTGGGCTATTTCATATAGTGTGGCGTCTTTAGCTTACGTACCATGATTATCCATCTAAAAAATATTCTTATGAAATGTTTCCATTAAGAACGCATTGTTCAACGAAATGACCTATTAGTTACATGAATCATTCTGATCTTGCAGTGATTCTCAAAAATGGTGAATGATCCGAATCTTTCGGTGAATACTGCTGAAAATGGTGAATGTGCAACGTGCATAGTTCGCATAAGTAAACATAATAATACATAATAAATGGAAGATGTTACTAAAATGACAAAATGCTTTTTGTGACATTCTATTTATTCAATAAGTACAATTATTTTTCCAAAATCTGACTGATATCGCATCCTACATAACTAGAGAGGCCGCAATTATTTCCAAAAATTGATATCAAAGAAGCTGGCCTTTGTCAATTCAGATACATGATGTGCACACATCATGAGCGACTCACCAGACAGGGGACACTAAGTGTTTAACATGCCACTAGCTTTGGCGTAATATGCAAAGGTTACATAAACTAAAGCACAGGCTGAGTAGGATCTGTCTACTTTCGTTTATGTGATCATGGCAACACCGCATACATCGTTGTTTCATGGACCATGGAAAGGAAACAAGTAGATATGGTCTACTAAAATACGCACGCGCACGACATACGAGTACGCATGACACAACGTCGTCTTCAGTTGGTCCTGGTAACAGATAAAAGCAAACAGATCCTATTCGGCCGTGTTTGGTTCATGCAACTTTTGCATAGTACGCTAAAGCTGATGGCATGGTGAACACTTATACTCCCCCTGAAGTTTAGACTTTTACCCTACTGATGATTGCCGGTAAGAATGAAACATTGTTGTATGCAGTTGGTCTTGGTCACAGAGAACAGAGAGGCCCTATTCAGCCTGCGATTATCATGATACCTATGATTTTAGATTTTTTTCATTTCGCATGTCTTATTCGTTTAATTTAAACACTTTGTAATGTAGAGGTATGGAGGTCCTTACTAATTTCATTCGTGTGCAATTGTCATTTTTTGAGTTGTGCTCTGAAACAAGTCACCGCGGTGACCGAAACGTTAGTAAAAATTCGATGCAATACATTGGAATTTAGCTTAAATATAAATTTATTCGATATTAAACGTTGGATGTTGCTACAATACTCGATAAATATGTAAGCTCAGATTGAGAGCTATACAAAAACTTGTCATTTGTGTTACAAATAATACGCATTGTTTGTCACAAAAGTTCCCACCTTAACGCTTGCACTTTTAATATCTCAGTAAGTGACAATCACAATCAAAAACGCATTGATCAAAATCAGTAACTACTGCTTCCTTTGCGCCCCTAGCGAGGAAGTACTGTAATCGCGGAAAATGTCGAATATGAGATATTACGTTTTTTGGCTGCTATATGATATCAGCATCACGAAAGACCATGTCACGCATTCCCGTCGGTCTATCCGTCTGTCGGTCTGTCGATATGTTGGTCTGCTGTCTGCTAACCTTTGGCATTCGTCTATAACTGAAAGTACTGCTCGGATTTAGATGGAAGTTCCACGGAAAATTACTCCTGTACCAAGGACAAAAAAGCTTTGTTTTCCAATGTTTTAGATGTGCCTGATCATTTCCAGATTTGTTTGCGGTTGTAGGGGGAGAATGCCTTAATTGTTTGGCGTTTGTATATTTATACGGTCCCAACCTCGGTAGTTCTACAAACATATTAGTCATATTTCATACATCATAGGTTTCCCCGTACATTTGCACTTAAAACAGGATGATAGGGAAATATTTTCAGCACACGCGTCTCTGGGTATACCTTTGTCGCTATCTCACCGATGAATGCCTGTATTTCGTTGCTTCGTAGACGGTAATTGCTGCCATGGTATTCAGGGTTGCATGTGGCGAGTGGTAAGCGGAAAGGTATCAGCGAAGTTGGTCACAACAACGTTAATTCATCACTGTTATTAGAACAGGGACAACATTTCTAGCTGCTAATTATATTGCTTGACAGAATTGACCGTAAAATTTTCTTAAAAATACTCGTAGCTAACTTTTTTCTCGTAGGAGATAAGTTAATAATCCTTTATGAACTGAAGAAAGAGTTGCGTGAGAAGTGCCGAGTCAACCTACTTGATGTGATTTTTTTTTAATTTCCAGGCAGTTGGTCGTTCCTAGACGCCCTCTACTACTGCTTCGTGGCCCTGTCGACCATATCGCCAGGTGAGCGCTTACCCTCGGGTCCAAGTCCGACTGCCCAAGCCCAACTGCTTGCTTGGGCTGCCTATCTGTTCGTAGGACTCGCTGTGGTGGCGATGTGCTTCAGCTTGGTCCACGAGGAAGTTGTCCACAGGTGCCGGCAAGTGACCAGGTGGATGGGACTGAACACTCAAGAGCATCGCTGACCATGCGTTGCGCCGACCTCTGATATATCTGTGATTCTTATTTTTCAGTTATGTCATTCATATGTTAATAAAGATGTTCGTAAGAAAAAGAACTATTAATTTTCAAAATGTTTATACGGCTTGTGTTAAAATAAATAATTTGGAACAATGGCTTCATGCGATAACTCTGCAACAGACCGTGGTTCCGGTTCATGTCAAGGCTTACTGGTAAGGTTGCCACCAATTGCTAAAGCTGCAGTGTTTGTAGAAAATACAAACCACTTTCAGAGTTACCTCTCGCTGAATAACTAGATGACGCATCTTAACCCATACGTCCATTGTAGAGTAGTGGTTAAAGATATCCTGTCTAGATTACAGAAACGGCAACTGATAAAATTGGCTCAAGCCTCTGGAACCAGTCATTTGATCCCGATATATAACCACATACTGGAACACGGTTCCTTTGCAAAGTCATCAAATCCAGTTCTATAAATAGTCATTCTTATAAAGATCGAGGACTCATAAAAAAATATTTCGCAGGATTTTGGACCACAAATCCAAATTTGGGGTACTTACTTTGTGAAGCTGAACGTCAACTGAAACCAGGCGACACGAATAGGCAGCAGTGAATGGAGATTTTTCTTTTCATGTGCAGAAAGCCATCTGCTATACCAAACAAGTCAAAAACATATGAACTGTGTGAATATTCACACCGTTCTAGCTGCGGGCAGTATGGTTTTCGGCACCAAAAGTTAACGAAGGTTCTAGATTATATCACACAACTGTGACGTAAACTTGTCCAGTCATTCGGTAATGCTCATGTTGTTGCTGTTAGTATCACGAAGGCTTTCGATGAGATGTGGCATGCTATCCTGTTACGGAAACTTCCACTCTATGGCCTGCCAGAAGAGCTTTGCAGATGGGTTGCTGTTTTCCTCTGGGATATCTGTAGTAATTGACAGGTTCCCGCCTTCATCCCACAATGTTGACGCGGGGGCACCTCATGTATTCATCCTGGGTCCAACACTATTTGTGTTACTCATCAATGACTTCATCACCTTCACGATCAATACAATCCACAGCTTTGCTAATGACAGCACTTTTCAATCGAACATTCAGAGTGCCAACCCAATCTCTGCCGGCGGACTTAAGATAAGGATACTAGCTTGCTTCCTATTTCGCTAGATAGCGAAGGATCTGAAAAGGAGCCATTCGCTTCGGCTGCTCGAAATCAAAATCACCGATGACTCGATTTGGCATGGACGCGTCTAGTCAATTTAGCGCTAAAAAGCAGATTACCTCCTCACTCTGTATAAGACACAGATAAGACCCAGCATCGAGTACTCCTCACATATTTGGGGTGATATCACTCGGACTACACTGTTCACAATCCATGCTGTTCATGGGAGAACTGTCTGACTGATCGATGACACTTCTCTAACGAATGGTCTCGGGTCACTTTCACAGCAGTAGGCGGTCGGCAACCTGGCTCTCTTATATCGCTATACCAGCGGACATTGCTCCTCAGAGCTCTTCTCCATGTCGCATCGGACCTCTGCCTCTGAGGAGGTTTTTCCCAGTTTAGTTGGAAATCGGCTTAACAAGGTGCTCCTTATAACAGTCACGGTGCCTCGGTATACGAAACGAAGATACGCGTGAACTTACATTTTAAGTACTCCCTTACCGGAGCGGCATTATGACGTCGACAACATTCGTAGACAAACTAACCTATTGAAATATTCATTTTGGCGTCTACGTCATATAAGTTAGCTGAGGGAGGAATCTTACTCAGGCCAGAGACTAACTGCCTGTTTCACTGGTATTGGTCGATATTTGAAGGGACAATAAAACACAGTTTGCGCATATGGTTTTATTTGCGTTTCCACAAAATTTTCTTCAAGGCCCACAATACAAACATTAAAACGAATACAGAATAAATGTATTTTTTCCAATTCGAAGCCGCGTAATAGTACAAGCCAAGACTCAGACCGCCTTGCTCATATTGAGTTCTCCTGTGTCGTCGATCCGACTTGCTAAGACTGAAACAGAATTTTAACAGTATCATACTTCATCTCAATGTAATCCTTGGCGTGTTATCCAATCTCGCATTCGATATTTGTCACACGGAAATTTAGAACACCTCAGTGAATTGGTGTTCTCGTGTCGACATGGGAACGCGACACATTTTCGCAAGCGACACTAGAATTTTATTTTTGCTATTCTTGTCTCGTCTGTCACTTTTGTCAAGTTATTTTATTTTAAGGGGGTCTTAGCTACGCGAAAAATTTTTTAATGAAAAACATCGATAGCAAGGTTCAATAAAGCATTTTATGTGTTTCCTGCGACATTTTAGTTATCTTACCAGCGACATTGACCATGCAATATTTGAGAACACCCCCCTCCCCCCCTCCAACTCGGTAATATCATAGAATAAAATAAGAGCACAGAAATCGAGAAATTAACAATTGTGTACAACCTACACTTCTCTTGGTTAACTGTTTCCAGCTCTTCATAACCCCCAGAATTTCATTGCCAGAACACGCCTAGCGTATACTACTTTTGAAATCATTATTCTGGGAAGACGCCAACGATCAAGAAAAATATGTAAGTGCAACTAGACGAAAAGAGTAAAAATACAAGTGATCTGAAGCATCGCCAGTAAACATATCTTGGCCAGAAACAGAACTATGGAATCTGACGGCCAACAATTTTTTTTACTTAGTCGGTACTTAAATGGGCAAACAGTATGTAACGTAGTATAGGCCGAAAGTTTATTATATCTAAATATAAAAAAGTTTCTAAGTCCATTTTTTACATATGTACAGGGGGTCACTTATCTTAACACGCCAAATCTTTAATATCACATAAATATCTCAGGCACTACTGAACTGATTTTGTTGAAAATTTGCACAATACTAAGGTTACTTATGAGTAAAGTAAAGCTAGATGGAAGGTTAAATATCCAGGGCTTTTTTGTTTTCTTATCAGAATCAACACATTTTAAGCTGAATAGTGAAGTGTTTTACTATGTACAAAAAATTGTTTGCGCCTCTTTTGTTTTTTCAGTTAAACATTCATGTTTATTTAAATATTTTATTTCTAGCAGTTTATGTGACAAAAAACTTGAAATTTCAAAGGTTATAAACTTGGATTCAACGACTTTTGACAAAATCACGCCCTATAAATTATGCACTGAAATTATTATTGTTTCGCAGGAAAGGAACAATAAATACGTGATATGAATGAAAGACAAACTTAATTTTATGCACCTTATTTAGTTGTATCAGTAATGACTCAGTTCTACCAACTGATGTTATACAGCAATGTGATTCCTGCTTCAGGAAAACGGCATTCATGCAAAAGCACTGACTAGACTCTCCAGACCAATTCATGATTATGATGGATATCTAGCAAAACCCAATATACAGGTCCGGACTCATTTTCAGCATAGCTACGTGTATCCACAACCTTACGTTAGATATAAGTTACATATTACATACATGGTACATCACACAAATGTCAAGTCCGGACTTGCATACTACTTTTTGAGGATTTTGGAATTAATTTCATGTTGGCCTGGAAGGTCATTCAGTGGATTTGCATACTAAATAAATAAATCGTTAAGAAAATACCGAAATAAGGAGATGCATAACGTTCATTTTTCCTTTTATTTTTATCATGCATTGCTCCTTTATCTGTGAAGTCGTAATAAATTCACAGTATAACTTAAAGCACGTTTTTAATAAAATACAAGAGAATCAGAAAAATTAATCCGGATCTGGCATTTTGAGCTCTCGAAACATTTTAGCTGAATTCTGAGCATGATTTCGTAAAATGTTTATGAAACACGTTGATAACCGTTAAAATTTTGAATTTTGTATCACACAGACTGCTAGAACTGGGATATTTAAATAAATAAAAACGTTTAACTAAAACACTAAAAGAGGCGCAATCAATCTATTCTACTAATTAATTAGCACCATCCATTGGCTTATTTTATACATAGTCGAACATTGTAATATCCAGCTTGAAATGTATTGATTTTGTTAAAAAATCAAAGAAATGAACAGGAACGATTCCAGGCCTAGATTTTTTAATCGCCGCTCTCGTTTTACGTTACTCCTATGTAATCTTGTTATCATGCAAAATTCCAACAAAATCGGTTCAATAGTGCCTGAGATATGTGATTTGGCGGGTTTAGTATAGTATATCCGTAAAAACTGAATTTAGGACTTTTCCTTTTCCATATATGGAAAAGTCGATATAGTACACCCTGCTAAGCAAATAAGGGAACACAAAATTCTTGCCTTGGGTAGATCGTTATCTATACAGGGTGTTTCACAACTCATCCGACAAATTTTAACCACATATCCACTGTTACGAAAGAAGTTGATTTCTCAAAAAAAAATGTAGTAAAAGTCCTACATAAATCGAGATAATAAAATAATACAACAACCACTCACAAAATCTTGCTCTTAGGGTCTGCAGGTAGCAACGCCTGGACTCTTTGGACGTGATAGTGGTACAGTTGGGCCTCATGTAATATGCACCACGCTGTTGCATATGACACATCTGGGACCTGTTGGGCTAACTGCCTTGTGTTTATTCCCGGATTTTCTTCCACAATATCCAAAATTTCGTCTTCGTCATTTAAAACGTGTTATGGGCAAACCCGACCCCCATACACTCCACGTCTGGGGCGAAAATCACCACTAGCACGTGTACGTAAAACAATTGGACTAAATGTTTCGTGATGTGGTATGTGCCTTTTCGGAAATCGGTGTGCATACAAATGAGAACCGCTCGCGAATGTTGCTCTGCTTTTCCGTACGCTAAAACAATGTCCACTAGCTCCTCATTAGTGTACACATGTGCGGTTCTTATTAATAAATAGCTAAAAACATAAACTCGCAAAACACTTTCTTATTTAACTTCACAAAAATCGACTGTTTTTCATTCAGATCACCCACGATACAGACTAAACCTTATTTACACGTTCTTATCAGTATGAAAAAACACAAAATTTCTGGTATTTTGTTTTCGTCAGTTGTTTGATACAACATCTGCTACAAGAAATTATTAATGCTTGTTCTAATAACGCAAAATACAGATATTTATTTTTCAATTTATAATTGAAACTCAGGTTTATAACTTAATTTCTGTAGGACCTTTATTACTTTTTTTTGAGAAATCAACTTCTTTCGTAACAGTGCATATGTGGTTAAAATTTGTATAATGGATAAGTTGTGACACACCCTGTATATGAAACCTGCCACTAACTTACGTCAAGACATCCATATCCTCTGGTGTTAGAGTTGCTGGACGCATATCATAAAGGACCTGAATGCCAGCCTTGATTCCTGAGCATACAGCGCCAGCTAGACTGCCATACCAGTCGAACGATGTATCTGCTCCAGCCCAAAATATTCTAAAATATAATAACACACTCCTCTGAAGTGAACTAAAGAATTATCTGCTGATTCAAGTAGTGCCGGTCGTTCCTCAGTCTACTACAGATAAGTGTACACAAAACCCCCATGCCTATGTTGAGCCAATCAGGAAATTTAACACTAATGGATCCTTCGAGTACTAAAAATTCCAGATGTAAGCTCACTCCACTCTCGGTATGTCCGAGAGGAGGGTGAACTTGAGGGAACAACATCGATGATAAAGTCCCCTTCACGATTATAAATTTCTCACCTTCCAGCTGGTACTCTGAAGCAGTCGATGTATTCACAATTATTAACCTCCCAAACAGGCATCATGCATTCATTTTCCCTCCATGTCTTTTCATAGTAGTCAAGAGGCTGTAGAGCTTCTTTACCAAAATATGACTTCAACTGGTTGAGCACCGCATCCCGATACATGTGTTTCTTAAATTGAAAGAGATAATCAAGAATCGATAGGATACTAAACTACAAAAAATATTTGCACTTTTTCCGCATGGGGTTGCGAAAATCAAAGTACGGCGCCCTTCCTCCCTAGATACCCAAGTCTGGCATTTTTTTTTCAATAAAATTGTATAATTGCTGTGTGTTGGTGTAAAAAATAGCTTGCTAGGCCTGAATCGTGAAACATGAGCCCCCTTTTTTACACCGAAGCAGCCGCACAGGCAGATGACTAAATGCCAGGACAGCGCGGCTGCTATAAATGTTGTTCTTTGTGATTAGAACTGGAAAAAGTCTCGTCTTGTAGTTTTTCCCAATCTCGACAACTTCGGGACAAAGGAGCAGTCGTATCGGCCAGTTTTGAATGTACGAAATTCGACACGGATGGGAGATCGAAACTAGGCGGGTCTGTCTGGTAGGCCAAAACTCGGCGGCGTCATGGAAGGGAGCTCTGAGGAGCAAAGCCTGTTGATGTAGCGGTAGATTGCCGACGACCCGCTGTGGCGAAAGAGTCCCGAGACCGTCTGTAAGAGAAGAGTCATCGATCAGTCAGACAGCCCTCCTTTGGACAGCATCGAGCATAAATAATGTACTCGGAACGGCAGCACTCCAAAGGTGTGAGCAATACTCGGGGCTAGGTCTTATCTGGGCTTTGTCTAGAGTAATGAGCTCATGCGTGTGACCCTAAACAAATAGCCTAGCGTTTTCACATCAGATCCCGCTATTGGCCAGATGTTTTCTTGCCAGATCAAGTCATCGGTGATATGGACTCCGACTAGCCAAAATAAACAGCTATTTGGCAGAACTCGGCCATCCTATCCGTGGAATTCGGATGAGCTGTAGGACGCTTTCTGTTCGTCAAGGTACCGTACTGTGTTTTGAAAGTATTAAACTGACAAGATTGTTGCGTCCCCAAGCAGTGATAACCTCCAGTTCTCTCGCCAGAGAGGAAGTCGCTACCACTGTTCTTTTTTACAGCGCACTGAGGAACACCTGCGTAGACGTTGTGGGATGAAGAGGAGAGCCCGTCAATTACGACGGATATGTTGCGGTCAGCTAGGTTTCTCCGCGAGGCCATATGATGGAAGTTTGCATAAGAGGGCAGCGTACTACAGCTGATCGAACGCTTTTGTGATATCAAGAGCAACGATATGAGCCTCTCCACAAGACTGGATGAGTTTACTTCACAATTTCGTGACGTAAGCTAGGAAGTCGCATAGCGCCGGAGACCATGCTGCCTGTCGCTAATTAAGCCGTGATACTCAAGTGCTTAATCTCCCCCTTTCCTTCTGGAGACGAATTTCTTCTAAATCAAAAATGCTGTGATCACCGCTGTACCCCCTGCCCTAAACAGATTCCAATATCTGCCCTTGATGAATGTGAATTATGGATCTCCCGATAATTCGATATATGCCTAATTGAAATAGCGGGAAAAGACGGAGCTGTCAAATAAGTGTCAAATCATATACCTAGTTGTACAGCAGAGCTGGTGAGCAGTGGATCAACTGTATCCCGACTGTACTAATCTCGTGAATTAATCACAAAAAAAATATTTCGATGGCTCATTCATACTTGGATGCAGGCTGCTGCTGCACTGCTTACGTCTGACGCTATCTATAAAAATACACCGAATCAATACTAGCGACAGAAACAGTACGCGCGTAGGACTCTACTAGAGACAGTGTATCTAGATGCTAGATGCTAGTTCAGCTGGCGCTCGTCTTTCTTTGTTTCAAAAGTCTATATGCACTTGGTCTCGTAGATGTATGTCGCACCTCTTACTGCAGCTTGGCCGAAGGCTACGAAGTCTAGAAAATGATTTTTTATTTTGAAGTATCTTGATCATGTTTGACCTCTGCTAAACGTATCACTGTCACTGTTCGTTCAACTGTATAGGCGAAGAAAATTAGTATTTGACGTGTGCACTGAAAAATTTTGTAGTTTTTTTTTGACACAAGAGCTGATTTATAGATAGAGCGACGAAAGGTGAAGCTTGTAACTGAAGTTCAATAAAGCATAGTTCAGATCCAGCAATATTTTTCCCAATAAGAAAGAGTTTGCTTCTCGAAAATATGGAGATACCGCGGTACTGATCGCTTCATTAACATTATAATTCCGTTTATGCTTTTGCTTGAGAAAGATTTATGAAAATTTATTCATTATTACCTTATCAGTGGTTGGTCTTCCGCCATACAATCTTCCCACAAGTGCAGGTTTCTCTGGGGTCAAACCAGAACAAATAACAATTGGTCCTTCAGAACAGTTTCTGTCAAACACGTACACTTCTCCTGTGAAACCATTTTTTCTCCAGAACTCCTGTGGTTATATGAATAGGTAAACTCAGAAGTTACTGGTCACATTGTGGCTGATGCAGGGCTTTAGCTCAAATCTGATACTTAGATTAACTGCATATCTTGTAATCAGACTTAAAAATACTAAGGCATGCCCCATCAGAACTCAAAATTGCTTGTTCAAGTCAAACAAAACAATAAAAAAGCTATACATGCTCAAATTCACCAAAAATGTTAGCCACTAGATGGCCTGACCTGTCATTTTGTAACATCTACAAGCACCTTAATGTATTGAGACGTATTCATAAAACAAAGGATATCCTTGTACTTGCAAATTTTGAAGGAAATCCTCCAGATAGTATTTATAATAATTTGAAGTAAATGCTTTTGCTTTTTGAGTATAAGAATACCCTTAAAAGCAGTGACATAAGTAAAAGGATATTCATAATCTTCACCTTATACTTGGTATATGAAGCATATCCTTAAGAAATTCTGAGTGTGGTCAAACGATGATGGCGGAAATTGTGGATGTTAAAACGTACAAACCTCGTTTACCTTCACCTGGTCGTGACTTCAAAAAATTATATCTACGAAATAAATGTACAATGGCTTGAGGACAGATTTTTAGTTGAGAATGAGGAAACTCGAGGAGGAGCACTTTCATGTATTTATAAAATGAAGATATGTCTACACTATCTCGGTGACCCTGGATATCAACAAGGTATTGGTCAGGAACTTGGTGTTAGTCAAGCAACGGTATCTCGGACTGTGGATAGAGTTGTGAACAGCATAGTTGCACAGTCGAACGAATGGATCAAGTTTCCAACCACCAACCATGAACTGATTGAGGCCAAGCGGATATGGCAAAGCATGTATAAATTTCCGACAGCAATTGGTGTAATTCATTGTATATCAACCGAAAAGGGAAACCTACTTTAAATGTGCAAGCCACTTGTGATGCCCGAGAGATGTTCCCTCCTATTGACGTCAGTTGGCCTGGATGGTTCCAGAATATGGAGAAATTCACAGACTAGGTCACAACTAATAAATAAAGCAAATGTTGCACTACTTGGCGATGACGGTTATGGTATTGAGCCATACCTTACGACTCCCTTCAGAAATCCTACTCAAGGTGCAGAAATAAATTATAATAAGCTTTTAAAACAAGAAAGAGTTATAATTGAACGCTGTTTCAGCCAACTAAAACGCTGGTTTCATATCCTACAGTATGATTGCCGCGTAAAGTTGGAAAATGTGCCGAAAATAATTATTGCTTGTATTGTACTCCATAATGTTGCGAAGAGCTTGGGCGATCCTGACTTTGAGTTAGTTGAACAAGACCCAGATGAAGATGAAGGAATTCGTTACATTGACGAACTTGCTATCCGCCAGCTAGGTCAACAAATGAGAAGAAGCTTGAGTAATATAATAAATAGTTTTACTGATTAACGTGTATTTATATGTTATAATAAGTTTTATTCCCGTTAACATCATAAGTTACAGGTGGCTTCTGACGCTGCATCATTTCTAATTTCGTTTTGTAATACCCTTGTTGTAAAATAATTGTTTGGTACTGCTGTAATAGCACTATACGTTGCAGTTCTATTATAGTTAACCCTTTGCTTTCCTCAGTTTCGTATTTCTCTGTTGCTAATTTTCTTTTTGTAGCAATATCTTCTAAATTGCTGGCGCTTCCTTCTTCTTCAACACTACCAACCTGAATGGCACCAGTAATTTTCCCGATTGTAGGATTACAGTCACCTTCCATAGCTTTAAGCAACTTTCTTTCCCAATCTAACAATTTAATTGCTTTATTACCAGTTTATTATATCTTTTTTTTTTCTTCAATCTTGATTCCATGTTGTTGATTTTTTTAATAAACCTTTAGTATCTAATGGTTTACCGAATGTTGATTCGTATTTTTTCAACATCTTCTTCAAGGCATCGTCCTTTCTCATTTTTTTGGAACTTGTGACTTTTGCAAAATAATGGGAGCAATGGCAATTTCATCTGCGATGAACTGCAGGTGGTTGCCGTTATTTTCTATAGTTTCCTCATCTCTTGAGGATGACATGCTTATTAATTTGATAAAAAACTGTATCCAGTAAAAATACGGAACGGTCTGTGTAAGCTCTGGAGTACAATTGTCAGTGATGCTGAGTGAGCGAACTCCCACGTCAACTACAAGATGGAACAAGTTAGGATATGTCGCTCAAAATACAAATACCAGTCAACCTTTTTCTTCTTTTTGGAGGATATCCTCGCGAGTATAAGGTAATCATTATGAATATGAAAACAAGGATATTCTTATACTTCTGCCTTTTTCTCCGAAGCACGGCCTTATACTTTTACCTCATGCTTCCGAGGATATGCTTCTTTTCTATGAATACGGCTCAATGTATGAAACTTATTCTGTAGTTGTCATTCTGAAAAAATTGCGCTTAATTTGATTAAAACACAATTTCACGTGTGTCTAAATCAGTAAGATAAACTAATAGTTCAGAAGTATTGACAAATAAAATCTGGTTTTCATCCTCACCTCTTGATACGTAGCTATGAAGGTGGTAACATTTCTTGATATAGTATTGTATATGCTGTCCATTATCGTATGTGGAAGCTTGGGCTTGAATTTTATCTTCAATAAGTCAGATGGAGGAATAGCCACAATCAATGCAAGACAACTGGAAAAGTATCTGGAATCAGTTCTAGTTAGTCAAAAAGTGTTTAGGCACCTCCGCTGACGTTGTTTTTTATTCCGCTATAATAAGAAATATACCTACAAGTTGACGTATCAGCCTCATTAATTGTATTTATTTAAATAAATTGATTTAAATTAAGTTGTTTAATAATTTTAGTGACTTTTTAGGCCTGCCTGCGAGGGGAGAATGTACGATGAGGATCGTGATTGAAAACTGAGTAGTAAGTAATGAGAGGCTGCAAACCACTGGTATGAAAAAGATTAGCTCGCCTTGGAGTGTCATAACAACAAGATCATTCAATAAAGACTTCTCTCTTTTATTTGCTCTGTAGCATATAGTCTTTTTTTAGTGGCAAGAATTTTGTGATCTTGATACACCAATAGCTAGCATGCAAATTAAAAAGCAAGGCATTTATTTCATTCAGGTTCTACAGCGAGGCATCTCAGAAACGTTCGGACGTTCGGAGTCCTGTGAGCTACTGACTAAATTTTATTTCATTGATCAAGCTCACAGGACTCCGAACCGTGAACACCTTCTGAAGATGCCAACCACTCGTGTTGGCGAAACGTCAAGTAAAAATATTTTACGACGACCAGAAACCAACCAAATAACATTGGATGATGTCCGCGAAAACCTTTCGCGATTCCATTGAATTTTTCTACTCTAAAATTTCAGATAAAATAAGTTGCTAATTGTGTCCGACAAATTTTTTGATGCAAAATGGTTAAAAATGCCAAAAAACAAAGAATACAATATTTGAGATACGGAAATTAGTTCTTTTTCTGTTTTTTAATTTCAACTCAAATTCCATGTACGTAAGCCCCCGAAAGAAAACTTGCTTAAAATTAATATTCCTATTAAAATTTTATCTTTCCAGAGTTTCAAATCTGCAGTGCGAATAATGTACTACTGACGTCGTAATGTGTACGAGAAGCGCGAGAAGGGTGCAAAACGAGTTTTAGAAAGAGATAGAAGCACCTCGTTGCCTGACAACCCGAGTAAGAGGCCACGAATGCCATAGGCGAACTCTTTCTAACAATCATATTGCAGGCGCTTATCTCTCATACACATTACGACGTCAGCCAAATTTGAACCTCACCGTATTTTAATCATTCAATGAAAAGATGACTTCACCATCTAAAAACCAAAAAAACTAAGTTTGTACTTACTTCACCTCATCATAAATCGTTGAAACTTTCACAAACTTCGAGGACACTCCTACTTCAAGAACAGGCTCCCCAAAAAATATTATATTCGGATCAACTTTTTCGACTAATCTCTCACAAAGATTTTTGTGACTGGACTAAAAATACCTGATGATATTGATACATTTAAGAAGTAGAAATAGCTACTTCTGAAACTCACTTTTATTCTGTACCTATTAGTGCCCTTTTCGCTAACCATCTGGTCCACTAAACTTCTGTTCGAGAGGCAGTAAAATATGTAGAAAAAGGCTGAGATCTTATCTGGTGGGATGGCTAAAATACAGAAAAAACGGATTTAACAATTGCAGCATCGTTTCGAGGGTACACCAAGATGGTCTTCAATATGGGTCGCTCTGCCGGAGCTGATTTCTAACCTGTTAATTCAAAATTAGTGGCCCGCAAGTCATCAATCCTAAGACTGCAAACGTATCGGTCTGTCCCAAAGAATTCCGACTAGTTAGAAGGATCAATGCTATGATGTGTTTGTCGCCAAAATCTCATAGTCTGTAGTCAGAATACTTAAATACCTGAGAAAAAAACGTATGCCCATGTATTGGCTTTTTATTTGGTAGGTAGTGGTAGACAAGTGAGCCAATTGTATGGACTAAAACTGAGCAATTTTAGCGACAAACAATGCAATGTAATCATAAAGGCTTGCCTCCTTCTAACCTATCCGAATTTGTTGGTTTGTCCGCATATCGGCTATCTATATGATCAGGTCGCCTTTTAGGCGGTCTTTAGACAAAGCTGATAAACATAGGTCTGAAAGGGTTTTGACTTAAGGGACGGTATGACGCGAGCTAGAAGAAGTATCTATACAGGGTGTAAACGATATGATAGTCATTATTTAAATGGGTGATAGAGGGTGTAAAAGAAGCAAAAAGTTTTATATAACATGAGGGTTAAAACGGCAATTTTTTAGAGAAAAGCGACTTTAAAGTAAAATAAAATCTGACAACGCCGCAATGCCAGACACAAATTACGACGGAACGCAGTGTAAATAAAGATGGAGTTTGTTATTTTTTGATCTTAGGTATTATTTCATTATTTGATAATGTACTCGTAAAATGCAAACAATTAAAAAAAACGGACTGACCACTAACTGTCTCAGCTCTTCACCTGGTGTGTGAAAGTTTATTAAACGTATTAAAAAAATCCACTTATAAATAGGGAACACAATTTTGATACATACATTGTTTTTCTTTTTAAAACCCACACTGCACTTTTTTGTATTCAAAGAAGGTGTTCAAAATGTCGTCCTCCCCTTTCCACACAAGCTTCATCGCGACGAACCCAGTTTCTTCTTACTGTAGGTCCTCGAAGTTGTCCATTTGTTATTTCAGCTGCATTAATTTTTTTTTTCCGAAGTTGTGCTTCAGTTGTTATTGGACCAGCCCCATAAACCATCCCTTTAAGTTCTTCCCAATACCAGAAATCCATCGGATTGAGGTCATGAGATCTTGCTGGCCATATTTGAGGATCAGGAGCATTTCGACCGATCCAGCGATTTGGATAATCTTCATTCAAATACTGAATGACGCCTCTAAAATGTGTAGTGGTGCCCCGTCATGAAGAAATCGCAAATTCTGTCTCCATTGTAATGGCATGTTGTCTAAAGTCTGTTCCAAAAGTTCTGGTAGGTTATTGTCTAGAAAGATAAGGTATCCTTCTCCTGACAACTTTGGGGGTAACTCGAAAGGGACAATTACCTGATCGTCAAGAATACCCGCCCAAATATTTATTTTAAAACGTTGTTGGAAATGACCTTCACGAATGGTATGAGGATTTTCTTGGGCCATGTGTGAGTATTGTGGAAATTTAATATCCCGTCGCGCGTAAAAGTACATTCGTCCGTCGCTAGAACGTTTTTAAAAAAATCCGAATTTTCAATGTTTTTATGCAAAAACCACTGACAGAATGTTAGTCTGTGAGGATAGTCTTCTGGTAACAAGGCCTGCACTCGTTGTACATAGTAGGGATAAAGCAAATTTTCCCGTAGGATTCTATGGACTACGATGCGATAGTCCTACGCGGCGGCCTAATTTTCGAGTGCTGATATCTGCATTGATTTCCACGATATTTAAAATTTGTTCCTCCTGCTCTACAGTAACCTGTCTTTCACGAGTGCGAATAGTAGTGTGCTGAACACTTCCTGTATCTCGAAGTCTTTGGTACACTTGCAGAAATGTCCTTCTGTCTGGGTGTAACCGTTAACGAAATCTGTCGCGGTAATTTTGAGCTGCAAGATTTGACTTCTGACGAGCTTCACGGTAAACTAACAACAAGTCGGTGAACTCTTGATTCGAGAACACTGTAAATAAACACGACGACGTACGCGAACAATACTAACCACTGTTACCGTTTGCGATCGATTGCCGGTTCGATAAGAGTGATGAATGACCGACGCGCTGTTGTCATGTGTGTTTTAAATATTTAATTTAATGAAACTTACTTACTGACTACAAATTTTGGCTCAACTTAGAAAAACTTAACGCCATTTATTTGTTAATTACCCAATTTAAAAACGTTTTAGAGTAGATTATAAAAATTAGTAAGATTGTGGTGATTGTGGTCGATATAAAGCACTTAAAGTTGTAAACTATAAAGCAATTTAGACAAAAATCTATTGACTTTTGGACCATGGGTCATATGAACTTTTTGACTTGTTTTGACCCCCCTATTACCCATTTCAGTAATGACTACCATAACGTTTACACCCTGTATATCTGTTTTGTGACATTGTAGCAGGCCTCCACGCCTAAATTTTCACCAACACTACATTTTGGATATATCACTCCCAGAGGCTAAGGCGGATTAAAAGTTCGTGCTAACTTCAGTTAATCTTGTATTGTAACAAGAATGAGTAGTACTACCAGCGACATCTGTTGGGAATCGCGTCAGGGACTCTCCTTCGAGATCGACGCGAAATGACCTCGAAGATTCTGGACTGCCGCTATGTGGCTCACCGGAACTTTCTCGAACTAACAAGTACATGCGATGCGGAATATATGAGCCGAGAGGGGGAAGTAGAGTTGAGCGAATGGCGCGACATAATAATTCGTAAATAGTGGTGTACACAAAAGTTCTATCTAGTCAAGTTAAAGTTAGTTGTGTTGTGTTTCAAATAAATTAATGCATTTCTTTTTGTGGAATTGAGCGTTTTTAATCCGCACCCAAAAGAACCCAGAAAAACGCTACAGTATTTTTGTCCGCCGTCTAAAATGAACAAAGTGAGCTTAACGATTCATCTCATCTGAAGGTTAGCAATGTACTCTACGAAAATTCCAATAAAACAGCACTAGGAAACTTCATGCTTTTTAAAAAGTTCTCCTCCCCTACCTATTTTTTCATTTCTATGCATGTATACTATATACTATGGTAAAAGTGACAGTTGTAAATTTCAAGATGGCGACTAGGCGTTATTTAGCAACATTATTTTGTATAGAGTGTGGGTCACCTTATTTTGAGGCTTCTTTTGAGTACTTTATAACCCTAGAATATACAATCAGTATCTTTACAAATGGCGGACTGACAAGCTGCGAAATTTGTTATAGTTTGTTATATATAAACTTTAGTTCAGAAAAATCTATTTGAACGTACAACAAAAATAAAGTATGGCGCATTCTGTTTTAAAAAAAATTACAGATTTTGGAAATCATCTAAATGGAATGTTGAGTATTTTATTACATATTCGGATCGACGTTTCTCATAGAAGAAGATGGATCTAATATACTATAGCGTTTTGATGATTGCTTGTTGAGTTATAACCAACTCAATGTACAAAGATACTCAGCTGTCAGCCTGCCAGTTCGTCATTCTCAAAGGTGGTGGTTTTATATTCTAGGGTGATAGCTCATGAAGAGCTGCAAAACAAAGTTTCACATGACCCTTCATTCCGTTTGAAAAAATGTTCAAAAATGGCGCATAGCCGCCATCTTAAATTTTCAATTGCCACTTTCACGCTAAAATATGCATGCATTAATTTCTTTTGCCTGAATTTCAGCCCGCTAGCTTGACCCCTTCAAAAAATGGGTAGGAGGGACTTTTTTGAAAAGCGGTTTCTGTATGTGTGTTATCTTATCTCATAATAAGGAACCGTTTACTCTTTTATCGCTAGAAATATCTTGGAACTTTAAGCCTACTTAGTTTTCCAATATACCTACCACAAGTAATTAGGACAACGTACTCAATAAAGCATTTCACCTTGTCGCTATGAAGATTTTGGTTTATATATTCTTGAAAAGTTATGCTAGCCAGCTTATTGATGAGGATCCTATCCCAGGTTTTCTCCAAATTGACACAATATGTTTCAACCTGAAGCAATAGATAGTGTACCATTTTATTGTGATCGACATATACAAAGAAAATAAAATTTGATTGATTAAAATTATGGCATGGGTGTTATGGTGGTCTACAAAAAGAGCGCCTTCGATAGCCACGATACTAACCTTTACTAAAAAACAAGCTAGTTCTAATTGTTCCGAAAAGGACAAATCACTGAGCATACCCAGCCTATGTTCACATATTTCCTTGCCATTCCATTCCTTGATAACAGACCCCTGAAGTACAGTGCTTACGAAAGGTGTTTCCAGCTTTTCCAGCAGCTCCAACAGTTCATGCTGATCTTTGTTAATCCAGTGGGTAGCTATTTCAAAGGTTTTTGTGCGTTTATTCTTACTAAGCATGCGTATCGTTTTATACCTGCCTCCAACATTTTCTAAAATATGACGTGCTTACTACATCTTACTCGTAAATCGTACCCATAGATAACATCTCCCCGCTTATTCTTGAAATTGACTTGATGGTTTTTTAGATTTTAGAGAATAACTTTAAATTAGAACGAAACAAGATATCGCTAAGAAACTATACTAACATAGAAAAAAGCACCCAGTAAAAATGAGTTTACTACAAACATTTTCTGGGTACATGTTTTGATAAAAAACGATCAGCTTTCCAACAATATCGATAAAGTGTTTTTGTGATATCTTCTGCTCTTATTTGTAAAAATGAGTGAATTAAAAAATATCTTTTTAAGTACAAGTTTTTATTTGGTTGTTCGCAAAATGAACTAAAAATTTAAGTTTTTAAATAAAAGCGTGTTACACTCTTTTTCTATCATACTGTCAACAAGTAACATGCTTTTATTTGAAAACTTGAGTTGAAGGAGCTTCACTATCGTTTAAATATTTCCAATAGGAAAACAATACTTTAAAGTTTTCAGGATTTTTATTTTTAGTTTACATATTTTTTTACTTTTTAGCATTTTCGATGTCGAATAACTAGTTTGGTAACTTCTAGAAGCTTTCATATACAGGGTGTCCGCAAAAGTTGGGGTTTTCCTTTTCAGAAACAACTGCCCCTGAAATAACAAAGGTAATGTGTAGTGAAACGAGGGCGACCAAGTAAAAAAAATAAAGGAAAAAGTACTCACTCTCCAGTTGACGAGAAGGGCTAAGTACGTCTCTGCCCGAAATCATACCGCTCCAACAGAAAATGAAATCAGCTGATGCGCTACCGAGCAGACGCAGAAACCACATTGATTGTCTTACACTTACACTTAATGGCTTAATGGCACATCTTCTAACAAGGAAGGCAAAATGTTGCGTAAAAAGTCTAGGTATTGCATCCCGTCCAATGGATTTGGGAGAATAAATGGACCAATGAGCATACCGTTCACCATGCCAGCCCAAACATTCACCGAAAATGTTTGTTGAAAATGGGCCCGACGGACAGCGTGCGGATTTTCTACTGACCAAACATGAGTGTTGCGAAAGTTATTCACCTCATTACGCGTGAACGTAGATTCGTCTGTCACCAATATGCACCTCAAAAAGTCCGGATCATTGTCATGTTGATGCAATAACCACTGACAAAACCGCACTCTTGCTGGAAAATCTTCAGGTTGAAGGGCTTGTACACGTTGGACGTGAAACGGATACAGCCCCTCTTCACGCAGCGTTTGCCACACTTTAGTTTTTGATACTTGCACTTCTCTAGCCACGTCTCTAGTGCTTGTTGAGGGATTCTCGTCTACGCGATTACCTCTACACGCGTGACCGTAACCGTCGGTTGAAGGTTGCATACTGACCTGACACACTGACCCCGATCCAGTTCTGTCGTCGGGTTGAGCCAGTGACCTTGTACCAGTCGGTGATGTCGCGGCTACAGGACAGTATTCAGATATTTTTGATGTTGCAGAGCCCTTTATCTCGGTTCCCTTAAGACATTGGTGTATATGGTACTAAGAAAAATTGCTTATGTTTTCAAGATCTACGCGTCGTGTAAAGGAGAACCCCAACTTTGCGGACACCCTGTATTCTATTAATGATGAAACTTCTTACTTCATTTGTATTATAAAATTTCGGTAGATATAAATTGTATAGATAATGATTGATATTTTGCGACGATCGCTATATGAAATTTAGGATGACGTTATTTGCTTATCGTTTTTCTCTCATCAAGCCCTTTTATTTGATACCCATATCATAGGGGTGACTATGAAAAACGTATATCGTCATTTTGCAGCGGCGGTCATTTGAATTCAGAATGGCGTCATTTTTCCCATTGTGTTCCTCTGATCAAGTTCATTTATTTGATACACCATGGGAGTGACTATGAAAAATGTATATCGCCATGTTGCGGTGGCCGCCATATTGGATTTGGAATGACATCACTATGCTTATTTAGAGTGACGTGACTTTGCTTACTGCGTTTCTCTCATCAAGCCCCTTCATTTGATGACGATCACGGCGTCACAGTTTTTTCCAATCAGGAGGCAAACGTAGGCTTTCTTTGGTCTAACACCATAGACTAGTTATTTCACACCACCACAAAAAATAATCCATAGGCAGCATGATTTGTTTCCTTCAACAATTAAATAATTGTGCTGAACGCTGTGTAGCAAGTGGCACCATATTTCTTGCCGGCATCACTCAGTCTCAGAATAAATGTGGACTAATTAATCGGCTTCCAAAATCATGTAATTTCAAACCTATGGATTGTATTTTTTGTGGAAATCAAGGAAAATAAGTACTTTTACACTTTAGTGGTGACATTTTTAGAACGTCTAATGTTTCAGGTGGAGTGAGGGCTGACTTTTGTTCCTGGTATGAACATGTCAAATTTCAGCCTATTATTAATTTTGAATCAAAACCCCTGAGGATTGGATTATACCACATTTAATCATCAAAATACAACTGTTAACGAAATCCTTGTAGAAAAGACTTGAATGGAAAATATTTGAACTCTAGAAACATTAGTAGTGAAATTCTTTATGAGTACTGCTAAAGTTAGAGAACTGTTTACTACAACTTATAGGCAACCTTCGACAAACACACGACAACTATAAAGTATCAATAGAGACGACAGATACAAGTGAATTACAGAATGGTCAAAATGGTATAAATACACCCATAATGGGCTTTTGCACCCTAATCTCACGAAGCAACATTAGGACTTATTGTTCTCTAGAATCTTTCCGATGAGATCAATAAGTATCAGCTAACGTTTCAAGTGGGGTATATACAGGGTTATCCAAATTAAGTGTCCACCATTAGTAACTTTGTTATTAGTGAAAATACAAAGTTGTTTGAATTAGCAAACTAGTAGCATTTTTAACGCTGGTAAAAATGAGAAATAAAAAAAAAACAATTGAGAGTCGTTATTTTGATTTTTTTTTCAGTAAAATAACATTTTTTTAAATGGAAACCCCTGTATATTATATTTTTTTCTGTTAAAGCATCAAATTTTAAACAAAAAAGTTCATAATGACTTTTCCGCTAAAGTCAAAAATAAAGTCAAAATAACGATAAATATTTTTAATTATTTGCAGTATTATAATATTAAGACGGCTATGAAAACAACATGGCGTTCGCGATTTGACAGCATTAAGATAAGCGACAAATTGTTAAACTGGACATACTCGCAACTAGAAGGCTTTGGAAAACAATGATAAAATCAAATAATGTCAAACATTAGTGTAAATACTTGTTTATAAGCTTTATTGTGTCATTAATTTAAAGAAAAATGTTCTCCCATGAAGAAAAGTGTGATATGTTAGAATGCTATTTAGTGTGCAGAAAATCCTCCTTGAGAGCAAGAGAATACTACAGTGAATTATATCCCGCTCGCATTCAACCGTATGAACGATATTTTCTGAGACTTTATCGAAAATTTAGGGGCAACGAAAATGTTTTTGCTAAAACAAGGGCAAAAAAAGAATTCATAATAAGCGAGGCCACGGAAATTGCAGTTATTGGATATTTTGAAGCTTATCGTGAGAATTCAATAGCAGATATTCTCAAGGACTCTAATTTCAGTTATGGTACTGTTCAAAGGATTTTAAAAAAATACAAATTTATTCCGTATAAGTACCGACCAGTTCAAACGCTTTTGGCAGGGGATCCAGAGAGAAGACTTGTTTTTTGCCATTGGTATCTTAGCTTCTGTCGCCAAAATGTAAATAACTTTCGTTACCTTTTATGGACAGATGAATCAAATTTTTCAAATTCTGGAATGTTTAATAGAAAAAACCACCATTATTGGTCAAGAGAAAATCTTTTGTTAGTACATCCAAGAGGCCCACAAGTCCGTTTCAGTTTCAACGTTTGGTGCGGTATAATTGGTTCAAAAATTGTTGGCCCGTTCTTTTATGAGGGAACCCTAACTGGTGAAAGATATGTGGAATTTATGTCAGAAATTCTGACTAATTTCTTAGACGAATTGGATCTTATAAGTAGACATCATCTGCATTTTCAGCCAGATGGCGCACCTGCCCACAACTCCAGAGGTACTTATCATTTTCTAAGTACTACTTTTAATGATCAGTGGATAGGAACAAATGGCCCAATACAGTGGCCTCCCAGATCACCAGATCTAAACCCACTTGATTACTTCTTGTGGGGTTACTTAAAGAACCAAATTTACAAGCGAAGGTACGATAACCTTGACGCGTTAAAGACTGCAGTTAGGGAAAAGATAACCCAGATAGATGGTAGGACCATACTTAAGACAGTTCGAGCAGTTGAAAAACGTGCCCAAAAATGTATTGAAGAACAAGGTGGTGTTTTCGAGCATCTTCTTTAAAAAAAATTGTTATTGTATTTTGTAAGATTATAAGTTGATGTTGAAAATAAAGTTTGTCGATACAATTTAATTGTTTCAGATTGGAGGCCATAACTTCAACAATTTGTAACCTAGGAGAAAAGTTATTGTAAGCTTTTTTGTTTAAAATTTGATGCTTTAACAGAAAAAAATATAATATACAGGGGTTTCTATTTAAAAAAATGTTATTTTACTGAAAAAAATCAAAATAACGACTCTCAATTGTTTTTTTTATTTCTCATTTTTACCAGCGTTAAAAATGCTACTAGTTTGCTAATTCAAACAACTTTGTATTTTCACTAATAACAAAGTTACTAATGGTGGTCACTTAATTTGGATAACCCTGTATATCAACTACACTCACTTGTAGCTTCCAAAATCAGAACATTTAAGGAAGGTTCTCGCGAAAGGATTGTGTAGGCGGCAGTTAAACCTGCTAGTCCAGCTCCAATAATAATTACATCTGCGTCAATGTGAGGTTCCCCAGTCTTGAAATTCATTCATAATCGCCAAAATGCAGTTTACTGGTCAAATTTTGAACTGGAATTTGGTGTAATTTTTTTGGAGTACCTTTGTGTTGATCTTGAGACACCTTCAAATTTTGACTGACTTTGACATTAGTAGGTCGCATAATGTATTATGACAATACATAAATAATGCTTATCAACATCAACTTATCTCTAAGAGACTACTTTTTTTTATATATATTCCAACTACCACGAAGGCCTACGGCCTAAACACCCATTGGGTACCGTGGGGCTATAGGGGGATACAGGGAAAAGGGGGGACGCCACACGGACTCTGGCGAGGGAACACGTGTGCATGCAACATGCACACATTCTGGCTCCGCCTACGAGATCCGCCGGGTGGTACCTCCACGTTCGACAGTCAAAGACCGTCTACCACCTACAGACAATCACAACATCCATAGCCAAGAGAAAAATTTCTCCTGGGACGGGACTCGAACCCGCACAGCGCACGGCGACTGATCAGGAGACCGAAGAGTCTACTACAGCGGCCACCGCTGCTGCCTCCATAAAAATTAATCTAATTTTATGAAATAGAGCCGAAAAGTCAAGAAGGTATCCCGTGTTTTTAATAACTCAAAAAACAATTGTACAAATCCTGATAAACCTTATATAAAAAAAGCTTGTGACAAGGGAAATCAAATAACGTGAAATTATACAGGGTGTTCCTTTTAAAAATTTTGAGAAATAGTCTGCTTTATTGACCACCCTGTGTAAACTATCCAAAAAAAACTTCGAAAGTAAGTGAACAGTGAGAAAACATGAAATCATAAGATTTTCATAACGAAAAATTCAGTAGCCTATCTAGAACAATTGCGGAAGTGCGAGTTCTTGAATTTGCGTGTTTTTTCGATAGATTGTCGAATGTATCAACAATTTGAAAATAAAATCCCATAGTACAATATATCAAATGACTTCCTTTCCTCCTAATCCTAATCTGACTAATGTAGGGCATCATATTTTAAGTAAATTCATGTTTCTGTCACCACTTATGAATCACGCTATAAAGACAAAAATATTTTGCAAATCAGGAGCTGTTGGCTACAATTTTTGTACTTAGCTTTTTTGGATACCATGCGTAATAGCGGAGTTATCGACCAAGTCCGCACTAAAAACTCACCCTGTATATAAATGTGAATGTTTCTGCCCCAACCAAGAAGTTCAGAACTAACTCAAATTGGCAGAATATACAATTTTCTCGATAAATGGGCTACCTCATATCCATAGTGTTTCTTATAAGAAAAGAAATGATAGCAGAAAACGTGGCTTATAGTAAGTAGAGTGGACTATCATCAAGTGTCATTACATTACTCCGTAATCAGTTACGCGTTCTAAAAATAAAGTTACTCAGTATTCCAGAATAAAATTTCATCTTTCAATCAACATTACATTATTGTGTACGGTATTACAACATTACCAAGTGATTTACAAACGCACCCCTGTAGGGAGCAAAATGCACGTGACATAAGCCGATTTCTTGACAGATCTGTCAATGAATTTAAATTTTTAGTATTATCCTTCAAAAATGCGAATGCTTGCAGATAATAATTGTGGTGTTAGACAATTTCAAGACGTGGTACTTCTTACATAATTTGCAAAGAACGGCACACGCCTAATGAAGGTAGATTTTTCCACCGGTAAGTAGGTCTATACGTCTATATGTAGTATATGTTGATACAACGCAGTTAGGTACTTTATCGTAAGCACTGGTAGACAAATAAAGTATACACTAAGTGCCGTATCGTCAGTCGTTCCTACAACTGTAGGACGCCTTTATGGCCTCCTTGATTTCCATAGTTTTCTACTGTTCCGTGTCAGCGCTCTATTTTGAGGTTATGTTACAAATATCCATTTGCATCAAATTGTTCATCTGTTATATAGCCTGAAATTTCCTGCGATTCAAAAAGAAAACATAGCCTCACAATAGGAGAGCGCTGAGGCTGACACGGAATAGTAGAACTCTAGAAATATACCATCCTTTCTTAAGGATAAAAAATACTATGAAAATCAAGTAAGCCATAAAGGCGTCCTACAATTAGGAAGTTTCCTATAGTCGAAAATACTGCCTGTGTTACTTGCATCTGATAATATAACTAGTATCTTTGACAAATCTGAAAGAATTATTAAAATAACTTTAAATTTAAGGAAGTTATGGCATTTTCTGTGTTGGCTGCTGTAGCTGATCGGCCTCGCGCGTCGAGGTTCGCTAGTGACGTCACATGGCGGAACGTCGCGCGTCGTAGTGAAGCGGTCGGACGACACGACGGCATATCGCATACATCCTTAACGCTCAAGCTGACAAGACGTAATTTATTGTTTGAATCTTGGCGTAGACTGACTGTATGGTAGTACATAACAATTAAAATGAAAAAAGGTTTTTTTACGTGCCGATTCCACAAATCTTTGGAAGGTGGACGTAATAATGGTAGGTAATGAATTTCTTCACAAACAATCCACTTTAATATGTCAGTACGGAAATACGTAAGTAAGTAAATAGTATGATTTATTTATACAACTCTGATAACGTGAACCCATTTTTTCAACCCTTTGCCTGCGACTATACCATACTGTGGACTTATAAAAGTGTTTTGAGTCATCAGCTTTACGTAGGACGCATGGTGTCAGTGGCGGGTATTATGGATGATCTTATATGGCTTTATTAATTTTATAAATAGAAGAAAATGAAAACATGCTCTGCATGCATCAAATAATTTAGGATGACCCAAACTCTAGCGAATACGTTTGATAAATTAATAATAAATTCAATATCGCGCAGTGACCAGACAATCGACTGTTTGAACTGAAATTTAATCCAACGCTAATAGGACTTGATGGCCGTCCGTTGTTGACTCACAGCATTTTAATAATTCTTTCTTAGCACTTCACGAAGTCCATTTATTAACCAGGAGTAGAATCAATGATTCCTCATTCATTTTTGGGTATTGTTATTTGGCTGTTGTCCTTATAGGTCTGGAAGAGACACCTATGGAGACAAGGCGATTGGTTTTGTGCAGTTAAAAAGAGAACGGGATATCTACTGTATTGTAAAATCCAGGATTAAGCCCGAACATAGAGTTAAAAGCAAACCGTATCATTGCAGTTTTGAATGCGATGAAAAGGAGGAAACAGTAATCAAGCTAGAATGCAGTGGTTGTGCTGCACAAGAGGGTGGCTGTAAGCATGGTGTAGCGCTATTAATGTGGCTGCACAGAGGAAGCGAAGAAGCACCATGCACTTCTGTGAAGTACTACTGGACAAATGCCAGATTATCTCCTATTGGCAGTAACAGTGTTGCCAGAGCCAACATTGAAAATTCCGATACTGGTATCGAAAAACTCCGCTACATTCCGCTACCCCGGGGATTATCGTCGGGGGGCGCATTAAGACAGGGGGGCATTTATTATACAGATTGTGTCAAAAAAGGAAAACAAAAACCAAATAGCGTGATAAAATATAACATCAAAACTGTAATAAAAAAACATTTGACTATAAAAACCAATACAATATTACAAATAACTGTCAAACAACAGAACATTTATCACGCAGTCATATTAAAAAAATATCACAGGAAACTTAAAAATAAAAAAGGATATGACCAAAGGCCATTTCTATTTTTCATAAACAAATTGAAGTTTTTGAGTTACTTAAACTTAGTCACTGTCTGTATCAGATTCTTCTTGTTGCATTTCTGTTCTCTCTATACTATATAAATTATTTTTGTATCTTTTAAAATGTTTTTTACCAAACTCGAAGTCTAGGCAGCAATATTTTTTTGTATTGTATCCAGTTTGATAATTATCGCGAACAAAAGTTAAAGATAAAAGACGATTCCTTTTCTTTGCTTTGATTATCTCCATATATCAGAATGTCCACTCGACATCTGCATTACCATGTGGCAAAAGTTGAGATTATTAGACATACTTTGGAAATAGACTTCACAGGTTGTGTTTTTACCACCTACTACCATCTATAGGTACACGTCTGCGTTGAATATGAAGTACCGACCGATGGTTACCACTGTCGATTGGAAAGATATCTGTATTTAGATTTGGTTACTAACTGCACTCATTTTTTTTTTCTGGTAAAAATATCCATCATGTGTACCTAAATTGCAAAATTCCGCTACTTTTAACAAAAAATCCAATTCCGCCGCTACGCCGCTACCACTTGAAAATTCCGCTATTTCTACCAACACTGGGCAGTAATCTAAAATTCATAGAAGCCTCTCAGATGACTACACATTAAGCCCACACTTGACCGACGTCTAAGCATCGCCGCGTCGGCGCAAACAAGGTTTGAACAGTGTTCCCCCTACAGCCACAAGATGATCACCGATGATCACTATACAAATACTCACATTATCTCGAAATGAAAGCAATACGCAAATCTATTTCTGTTCTCATTTAAATCATTTAGATTCTTTACCTTATCATGCGATTCATACAGACTAAGACTAATAATAATTAGCTAAATAGCTGCTTACATCAAAATGGGATTCACAGCAAAACAACTTTGATTTTTCCGACAGCGGCAATTTATGCTATACCTAGGTACAATAAAATATTTGTAGATTGAAGGTTTAACTCACTTTTTACTCATTTTTAATAATAGGGGAAGCGAGTGTGGCGCGACGCGGCGGGCGCATCTCCTTGCATTGGTGGCTGGACTGATAAGCTTCCGTCAGGTGACGTCATCACTCACTCGCACGGCCCACAACACGATTCTCTAAATAATCAACTTCTGACTTTGTTATTTTTCAAGATATTCAAAAAAAAATTCAGCGCTGTACTGCATTCTACTTAGACTATCATCTTGGGTGTCTTTTGAAAAATAGGAAACTTCCTCATTGTAGGAACGACTGACGATACAGGCCTTAAACTCCGAAATTTTGGTGACAAGCAATGCAATGTAAACATAATAGGCCCAGCTCCTTCTAACCTATTCAAACTCGTTGGAAACACCCCATTAATGTTTTTATACACAGACTCCTGGTTGTGAGCACAAGTTGTAACGCCTCTGGCGAATAGGCAGGTGTGGCTCCCCCATCCCCCATCATCAACCGGAAAGTGTCACAGCGCGCTGTTGTCAGATTTATAAGAATTGACCAAGATGGCTATATTCAGATAACAGGCGTTAAACTGGCGCGCTGAAAAGAAAACGCTAGTTCAGCATTTCATAGATGCAGATGAAACTAGCCAAACTATGACCAGCGCGTCGTATTGGTTGATGCTGGTGTCACTCAAACCGGTAGTTAGGACTCGGCGCACGCGTCGAAATGTGTTCTGAGAGTATTCGCGCCTGCGTGTGCCGGCAGTAAAGTCTATCTACGCGGCGCATTGGGTGTAATCGCAACAATAAATTTACCTAAGCCCTATTTAAACCCCTTTCAAACCTCATTTACTCCGCGTCAAGCAAGCACGGACACTTTATCGAAGCATCTAATCGCCTGTCGCTCCGCACCCACACATTTATGACCCTCTGACCAGTAGTAGTGGGAGAATATGTGGATCGCAGAGCCGGTAACGCGCGATAGTGAAACTCGACACTGGGCCTGGAAAACGCGGCTGTGTCCTCAATAGATCATATTTTTTGCCAAAATAAAAGAAACGTTGCACTAAGGGCCGTATTGTCGTTCCTGGAATTGTAGGTCGCCTCCTTGATTTTCACAGTTTTCTACTGTTCCATGTCAGCGCTCTATTTGAAGGTTATGTTACAAATATCTATTTGCATCAATTGTTTATGCTTTTGATTTACGTCAGCTGTTATATCAGCCTGAAATTTCTTGTAATTCAAAAAGAAAACATAGCCTCACAATAGAAGAGCGCTGACGCTGTCACGGAACAGTACAAATCTAGAAATACCCCTGCCTTTCTGAAGGGGAGAAAAGTCTATGAAAATCAAGGAGGTCATAAAGGAATCCTACAATTGTAGGAACGACTGACGGATATGGCCCGTAAAGTTTCAGTAGGAAGCTAAATGTGATCGATGGAGCTAAGATCTGTAATTGTACAGAACAATAAGGCCTTCAAAGATCAAGCTTTGTTGAATCTTCATGACGAATTCATATTCTTGGAGAAAAAAACTAACAGAAACCTTAATCAAATCCAAGCGAATAACCAAAATTTCTGTGTTATGTGCCGCGGTTATAATATGGTTCAAGATGACACAAGGGTTGATGATGTCAGTTACACGAATCGCTTGAACGCCTTGGTTTTAACCGCGGTTTTGTTGCAAGTTGTTTATTTTAGAAAAGCGCGTATATAATCTCTGAATATTTTTATTATCACTTAATAATCGGTGCTTTTTCGTCTACAACTGTATATGGAAAGTTTAAATAAGAAACCTTTCATAATATTCATGGGAGAAATGTTTTTTTCAGATTTCTTTTTTAATGATGGAACCATGACTTTGTAGCTATGATCACTTTCAATTCTCTGAATTTTTCCGCATGTTAAAGAAAACATTTATTGATTCAGCGGAAATAATGAAAAAAGAAATTAGCAAAACCGTATACAGGTGGATATCATCTAGTGAGTTTATATGGCCATATTTTAATATTCTTGTAGTATATGGCTACACAGGATACTTTGTTAAGCATAGGAACTACATTTAAAGTGTCCCCAACAACCGTAATGAGTATAACTAATAAGGTGCTCCACTTTATGGTAAAACTGAAGTCAGCCTGTATCATTTTTCTCAAAAATGAAGCTAAAGTACAATAACAATATCCAATACCCGGCAAAATTCTAACTTGTCACATTTCAAATAATAACCAGAAATATAAAACTACTCTTGAGTTGGGTAAATACCACAATTTTGCGGTGATAACTATGACATATAACAGCTGATTCGTGACGTCACGGATCTTATAACCAAACTGATAACTACACTCGCTTGAACGGATTGGTAAATACCAACCCAAAATGGTAAATACCATTTCCGTTTGGTTATCCGCTTGAATTTTATTCTTATCTAAACAAAACTTCTGAATACTGTTCTTGTAAGAGGCAAGTTTTGGATGGTTCGGAAATCATGCTACTGCAATCTGACAACGTTGCAAGGTGTCAGCCGTAGTTCATTGGTACACCGGTAGTGGGCTATGGCCGTTGTGTGATTGTGTTGTGCCGTTGTGTATTCTGTTTAGTAGGGTTTTTAAAAAATGGCGACTTTGATTTTATTATGTTTAGCATCTGTTTTTAAAATTGGTAAGTAAACATTTGCTTCCTTTATCAGAAATCTTATTATGAGATATGTGCTTTTATTTATAAGGATGGATGTTGATGTTTGTACTCCACACCTTGATGCTGGTTTACACCTTTTTGTTTACTGTTTAATTATTTGTAATGTATGCCTTTTCACAGTGAAATTACAGCTATAACCAAATTTCCTGGCTAAGTGTTTCATTTTACCACACATTTTGATCCTTCTAATGGTGGGACAGTTTTTTTAATTTGAACGAGACCTTACAGTATTAATCATCATTTGTTATTTTTAAAGTAGGTAAAACGTGATTCATGGATTATAAGACAGTTGAAACTTTAATTATTAAGTTGAACATGAATTGCTTATCATAGGCATCATAAGATGAGTTTGTGAAGAAGGTATATTATGAGTCATTTTGTTCAAATGTATTTCCATGATCCTTGTGCAAAGCATCTTCAAAGAAAAAAAAGTAATACATAAAAAGTGTTCAAAAAACGGAAAGTAGTAGTTTTGTGGTATAATCAAACATGCCTTATCTCCAACTGTCAAAGCCCACTAAATCCACTATGGCTTTTGAGAAGTATATTAAATTTCTATATTCTTTATGTAATATTTTATTTTCTATTTGTACAAACAAGTATGAAAAATCATAAAACACATAAAGGATATGACATAAAAATGAAATAAGTTGAAATAAAAGACTTGTGTGATGTACAATAAGCTTACTGATACTTTATAATAAATAAAAAATACTAAAGAAATCTTGCATCTTACAGCTGCATCCCAAAGATCCCCAACAATATCATATATCACACAGACACAAATAAAAGACATAGGAGGCACTGTAGAGCTAGCATGTTCAGTTCAATATGCAGAAAGTTATGCTGTTGTGTGGATGAAAGTGGATAAAGGGAATAATGGGAATACTTTGCCAATATCTACTGGAAGTTCATTGATTTTGCATGATTCTAGGTTTTCACTGAGACATGACCCTGTAAGTGAAAAATACCTACATAATTATTCATTCCATATGCTTCCTTTATTGAATTTGTTCCACCAAACATCTAGAAGATTATTATCTAGAAGCAGTGATTTACTTAAAGATAGCCAGCCATTTACTGTATTTTGGCATCCAAAAAATTATCAGAGATAAAATGAGATAGTATAGAGTCAACTGTGAAAAAAGATTTCTAATTGTGAAGAAAAGAAACATTACTATGACAAATTCTCATAGATGATGCTGTCTTAGATCATTTTTTAGACATCAAAATGCATTGTTGGCTATCTTCAGATAGAATATGTTAATCAATGCTAGACATTTTATTTGCTAGAAAGCTTTAATCATAGCTTCCATCTATGATTGCCAGATTTGATGGTATGTTGATTGATGTGAACTTTCAAGACTGTTCCAGCGTTACTGCTGTTCAGCATAGGTTCTCAAGCACCTTTCTTTTGTTCAACAGCCTAAAAACACTATGGTCTGTACGAAAAACTTTTTTTGAAATTCATTTAAAGAACTGTTTAGACAATTTTTGATGCAATTTTGGACCTGACAACATGCAGTTTCATTAAAATAGGACCTTATTTAACAAGAACATGGGCAGTTCTTGGAGCAGCTACAAAGGCTATTTGAACTGAAGTATTGTGGTATTGCTGGTGTATTAACTGATTCTTATGGATAAAGATTTTTTATTAAACCATTTGCAGTGCTAAACATATTTGTACCATTTCAGCTTAGTTCAACATATCTTTTACAAATAAAAGATATCCAAGAAACTGATGCTGGTATATATTCATGCCAAATTCTGATATCTACTAGCAACAAAGTAGCTGCAGAGGTAGAACTACAAGTGAGGAGACCACCATTTATCTCTGATAACTCTACTAGATCAGTTGTAGTGTCAGAAGGAGAAGGTAATTTCATACAAAATAAAACCGTATCAGCTGAAGAATATTATTGTATATGTTTATGCTCATTAAGATCACCATCAGTAATTGATTTTTGTTGACTGTAGATATAAAATAGTTATTTATTAAACTGGTGCAACTGAATATTCTGAATTTTCACTGAAGATTCTTAAAAAAAACATGAAGTATTAGCTGTTAGTCTTCTAATAAATTTTTTATGAATATAAACTGTTTTTTTTTTCATTTCATTTTCTAAGCTATGATATGTGATCATATTTTTATTTGGTATTTTCACATATATTCTTGTGAAACTACAAACAATATGCTTCAAAAATCGGTCAAGAATGAAAAAACATTACAAAGGGGCTGAGGAATACCTATTAAGATACTAAATAAAAACTTTATTAAACTCAACTACATCACTAACACATTAACATATATGCATCTTTTATCATGGGGGAGTTCTTTGTACACCAATTTAGATACTTATTATTCTTCCATTAAGGCACCCATAAATTACTAACTTGATCTTCATTAAATCAATTTAGTCTTTGAAGAGATTTGTATGAGTTTATTCACATTACATTCAATGCACAGTGGTGGATCCATAGGGCAATAATGGGGAAACTTCCCCTATATGACTTATACTTCATCATAATTCAAATGTACTGTTAGAATTTCACTTACATCTGTACTTATCATAAATATTTTAGTTTAATTAGTATTTTCAATTATTAGTAGTAGTGATTATATTTATATGATTAATTTTAATCACACTTTTTGTAAATATTTGGACTAATTCTGTCTCTTTAAAAATTATATATCACTATACTGAGTCCTGATATTTTATAACTGCTATTTCTCTATTCTACTTTTTAATCAGCAGCCAATTAAAGCTTGTTTATAACCACTTTTATATAATTGTTTATTATTTTCTAGCTGTGCAAATGGAGTGCTATGCAGGTGGTTTCCCACCACCGAGAATATCATGGCGTCGTGAAAACAACGCCATTTTGCCAACAGGAGGCTCCATCTATAGAGGAAATGTACTAAAGATCAAGGCTATCCGCAAAGAAGACAGAGGTACTTACTACTGTGTTGCTGAGAATGGAGTTGGCAGGGGAACTAAAAGTAAGAACAATTGATTTATTTTTCAGGTGAATGCATATCTGAACCAAACCTATTTGCTCAACATTTGTATTTTTACAGGAAACATTGCTGTTGAAGTAGAATTCGCCCCAGTAGTGGTAGTACCACGTCCCAGACTGGGTCAAGCTCTCCAGTTTGACATGGATCTTGAATGCCATGTAGAAGCATATCCCCCTCCAGCTATAACGTGGGAGAAGGAAGGTATCCAACTCTCTAACAATCAGCATTACAAAATCTCTCACTTTGCTGTTGCGGATGAGTTTACTGATACTACACTCAGAGTCATCACTATAGAGAAGAGACAGTATGGGCAATATGCCTGCAAGGCAGCTAACAAGCTAGGAACTGCAGATGGAAGGGTAGAGTTGTTTGGTAAGAAGTGTATTCTGGAATTTGATTTTAATATTGATTGCAAGATGCATATAGATAGTTTTTGGAGATACCACTCATATCTAACTCACCCTCCATTTCTGCACAATTTAATACCAATGGGTTGAATATAAATACGACAAAGTATTATGGTTTTATATCTAATATAAAATATAAAAAGTATAATTCATTCTTCTCAAAAATCATTCAGCAGTTAACAAAAGCAGTAATGGTGGGCTAGATGTGAGCATAAAACATTTTCAGAGCTAAAAAGCACGAGTTACTTGTGGTTGATGTAGACTTATAAATACATTTAACTGTATTTTGCACATACAGTTATGTGTTTTATGTGCTATTTGCCTTTATTTTGAGTTTCTAGTTTTTCCCATTATAATTCATTGATTCCATTTTACCAATACAAATGAAATTTGTAGTAATTTTAGAGATTTGAGACGTTATTCGTGTGTCGTATGCATCTGGAACTGATAGAGAACCTTTTTTTAATGACAGTGATTTTTCCTTATCTTGATGTACAGGGTGCGGCAGCATAACTTCCTTTTTTAGAATCAGCGCCATTCAGTCGGTTGATGTCGTATCGGTACGCTAGTGGTCTAGATCAAGAGGCGGGGCTATAAAGTATAGAGCATCCACGATGAAATTGCCAACAAAACTATGTAAAACAAAACTTTAGGCGTGTGCCTAGAGTATTAAAAACAAATAAACGTTCATAGAATGGGTTTTTTTAAGTTTTGAAAAAAGGAAGTTATGCTGCCGCTCCCTGTATTTGTGCTATGCATTTTGTAATCATTCATCATAGACACTTTCATTCTGCATTGCCTGCATTATTTTTTGTTTTTGTATATAGAAACTGTCATCCCTGTATGTCCTCCTGCCTGTGGTACAGCTAAGTATAGTGCAGCAGCTATAGTAACATCCAGTAGTGCAGCGTTACTTATTATGTTCATCATATACATGTTTAGGTAAGTCTTCATTGGCATTGTTATCAGAAACTTTAAATTTCATGTTTTATGGCCCATGCAATCATTAATTGATCTTCACTACCCACCATCTATATATATATATATATAAACGTAATTTTCTGTCCAGCCTGCCAGCATCTTGTCTGAACCAAAATACGGCGAAGCGAAATAAATCTTTACACATATAATTTATATCAGAGAAACATTAAAAGCATGGTTTCATCCGCGAAATCATCGTCGATTTGGTAATCACGGCAAGTACCAAAATCTGCACGACAACGTCAAACAGGCAACAGCGCGGCCTGTCATTGCCCTCAACCGGTGACTGTCAAGCGATACAGACGTTTTACGATGGTGAATCAAATATGAACCAGACTTTTGTTTTAGTAATTTTATTGGTATAGTAACTACAAGTTTATTTATATACCAACTGACATCCCCACCCAACATATACCAAGACGTCGCCCCACTAAATTCACATAAGGCGCGTTAAACAGAAAAGTCCGGTTCATATTTGATGCACCGTCGTACTTTGCGCTAGCTGTAACCCGCGACTTTGTATGCCTGAAACTGTTGCTCATATAAAACGTTCTTAAGTACGGCTATAAACTTCCGATCGCGTTTTGTGTCTTAGATGGCATGAATAAATTGACAGCCCATAATTAACAAGAATTATTTCATCAAGCTCTTGAGATGATGCAAATGCATGCAGAACCGACAACTGTCCATCAAATTTTCCTTCCAAAACATAAAACAACACTCACATGAAATGTCGAGAAGAGGTCTGTCAAATGACAAGTATGCGACGACAGCTTTATTTTTCTTTCGGTAATGAACGCTTCAGTATGGATTGCAGTTGTATCAGTATTATGGAATTTATTATCACTGCCTTCCTTATCGTCACATAACATACTATAAGGTAATGAACTATTTTGTTCTTACAGAAACGTCCGTGCCCAATATTAACTACAAGGAGCTGATTGAATTTGACAGCAGTATTAGAGCAGCTCAATCAATTTACAAAGATCTGATCCTCATTATGATATTCAAATACATGTTGTTTTCATGAACGGTTCAAATCTGTAGCCTTAGTATCAACATTTAAGAAACAAAAACCTGATCAGCCTATTAGTATATGACGTTACAACTTCTGTGATTGGTTTACCTTAGTTTAATGTGAATGACGACTGATCTTGAGGGCAGATTTTGCACAATGTTGCATCCATGAATTGTTAATAAATAATGTATATTCATAGATCTAATAATAGTCATCCGTTGCACCCATTGTATTCAAAATATGTACAGTCTATAGATGCCCCGACAAATACTTTTTCAAAATTCCGAATACCGGATACTCGGCCGGGTTCATCTACTTTCAGTGATATTATGATTATTTTTGCGTTTTTGAAAGGTCCCCTTATTCTCAAAATCGATTTACATTTCCAAGAAGTTAACACTCCTCAGTTGCGCAGTTTAGACAATTTTTGTGAGTAATCCTCTGGAGGTTAATGTTTGCACAGTATTTTCAGATGTTTTGATTTTTCAAGAATATAAAAGGACTTGCAAGAGCTAGACATGTGGAATTCACCAGCTGCAACATTTAGTTAAAATTTTGACATTACATTTTTGGAACACTTATTTTTGATATACTTTTCAGTCGGCAAAAAAGCAAATTTGTAAAATGTTCAAAAGGTAATCTTCTTGATGGCACATTTGTATTAAAGATAGGCAATGCGAGACCCCAAGCTGTTCAATTGTTGAATAGTTGACTGATAGACTCGCTGCAGTGTCATGGCCATTACAAACACTGAAATTAAATCTTATGGTTTGTTGATCTGGCTTTTGGGGGAGACTACAAAATAAACAAAACAGCCGGATGTCGTGACGGGACTATTTCAGATTCGGGAAAGATTAAATCTAAATTATCCTCATGTATGAGTAAGGAGTTTCTTGGCAGAAACGCGGGATACTCGTTATCCCTATTACTTCTCGTCTTCTGATGCATTATTTCATTTCGTCTTGTGGTTTTTGTTTCCTATGACAGCTAAACCTACATATATAGCAAATCAGCTGAATCTTATTAAGTTGTTTTTACATAATTGAAAGGATCTGGACCCATAAGGGGTTTTTCATCGGTGAAAATGACTCATATTTTAGGTAGATCGCCTCAGTGAAATTTTTGCTTCTAAATATTTCAGACCGTTTGCATTTTAACTGTTAATCATCTGTCTTTTTATACCTGTACTTGAGCACTTTAAAAGTTCCACTTTCGGTATTTTGGCATTCTTGTTCAAAATGAACCTATTTTCAACCAGTACACTTACTTATGTTGCATGTCATACAAAATAAAACACACTGAGATAGAAAACATATTATAAACATTAAAAGTGTTACACCACTCTCACAACAATATGTTAACTTCTCATTATAATTGTTTCTTTTTTTACTGTGAGAAAAATGGCGAAAAGGGTTGTTTTATTATAGATTTGAAGTAGAAAGTGGTGTGACCATACACTTAAATAAAAATAGTAGGCAAAATATTTTCTGGAATATTTGAATGAAATAGTCCTTAGATAACATCAGCTTAAAATTTGAGTAAACCTCACCTCCGAAAAACTCCCTTATAGGCCCTCATCTTTAATCTAAATGACGCTTTAGAGCTCGATACGATGGGATACAGCATCAAAAAGTACTTGCTTGTCGGCAGCACAGGGCTATTATCAGATTGTATACTTTTTCGCTTCCAGATCTTTTCTATTTAAATCCGTTCACGTGGCAACATTGTGTACATACTCCAGAATGACCAAAAATCACTTGAATGGCATGTATCTATGAATCTCATTTTTCAGGAGTATTGTGGTGCATTTAACAATTATAGGAAAATTGTACACATATAAAATTTAGATAAGTGAATGTCGTATTATTTTTTCCACTTTTATACATTTTTATAGTGAGTTGAATATTACATCTGCTCGTTAATTCGATTTTTTTGCGACCAACGATATATCAGTGATGCTTTTTATGCTCAAATATTTTAGAATTGCAGCTATTTGAAGAGATTTTCTTTGTACAATTTTACATCGACTGTTGACGATCCACAACATGTTTCGTAATCCTCCACGTTTGTCAGTTTTCAAAGTGTGCTTGAAAGAGGCCACCATTGTGACTGAAACGTTGTTATCAGTAAACAGTGTTTTAAACATGTGGTTTCATTTAGCGGCCAGGCAAACATGGAGCATTATCAGCATGAAAACCACAGGATAAGTTTCAGCTGTTACATTAACATGTTCTGTGTTTCAACTCAAAGTGCGATTTTTGTATATTATTGTGTATCATCTGCATCAATAAACACTAATTTATCTTCTCACATAATGTTACATGATCTGAACTGCATGTACATAATTCACTAAGTTATATTCGTAAGGAACTGTTCAGCTTTTCAAAAATTATATTTAGTTTTACTTCTCACGCTTACTGGCGAAGAACTATTGTGATCGCGAAAAATTTAGAAAATGATTTTTTGATATATAATATCCATCTGTTCGTCCGCTAATCCTTGGCCCGACTAGTACTTAGAAAGTAATGGTCAGATTTCACTGAAATTTTTACACATGGTCACTATCATGTCAAGAACGAAAAAAACTTTGTAGTTTTTGAAAATAGGTTGTGGCGGCGGAGAGCAAAGCCAACAACGAAAATATAAAAATCACTCGTTACTTTTTTTGCGTTAAAAGGATCCTGATCATTTTTAAGAAACTTTTCAAGGGTAAAATTGGAGGGAGGGGTGTATCGCAATACTTTGGTGGCAGTATATTAATGAAATATTTTGCATATAAAGCGCACTAGTCGCTTCTCGCTGTTTGGCGAACGCCCACATGAGGAATGTTTACATGAACAGCTAAGAAGAGGTCAGTGATGCCCCATTGATGTAACAATTGCGACTACCAGGGCAATATAATATGTTGAAAATACATAATATCAAATAAGTTGACAACATTCGGGCTGTAGTCTTTTGCGAAAATAAGAATTTTGTTGAATGAAGAAATTTTAGTACCTTTTCCTCAAGCAAATGATACCGGGGCTCATGAAAATCCTCGGTTATTAAAAAAAAAAGATGAACTAAACACATTTTTCCAAACATCTTCATTATATTACCTGACCAGCTCTAAGAGTTTCCATAGCTGACCAATAGTAAACCAACAACAACGTACGAAGGCCATCATATTCAAACCTGTAATTTCAATTTATTGACAAATCAACAGTAATATTTATTCTACTCTGTGGCCTTATGCCTGGGTACAAGGATTAGCCCACAAACAATAAAGATGCCAGAGCTTAGAAATGTTGACTCGAAGATAATCCATATAAAAAGTCAATTTTTTCCAGAATTGCGTGGGAAGTACAGAGTCGACCTACTTGACGCCATTTTTTTCTCTAGCTGTCGTGAAGGTTGAGTTTGTTGTTGTTGATGGATACATAAATATTATTTATTATTTCTGACAAGTGTAAATATGCTTATACAAGGATTAAGAATTCCTTGGCTTATTGATGTATATTTTTGTGAGCTATTTTTCTTATATTAGACTAGAAAACGCAGTTCTCTAAAATCGCCACTTATACATTTTGTTTTACCACATGTTTTGTCATAAATGTTTAGGAAGACAGTATAAGAAAAATATGCATATTTTTCGTTGGATGTAAGGTAAAAAATAAGTGATTATTTATATTTTTTTATAATTTTACTGAGTAGTCGTTCGGCCTAAGAAATGTATCGAAAAACTAATTTCATCAATGTATATTCCATGTAAATAATATACTGCATATGAAGTTAGTTTCTTGTAGGATATAACAATTTAGTTTTATCACGTGATTGTCATTATTATGTTTTTGCAGCTATTGTCTTATAGCAAAATTTTATTTGGATGACTGGTGTTCATCAAAATACGCTTAAATTTTCAGTTAGGGAAATTCATACGTATTTTGTTCAACCATTCTGTAATCATTTTTCTGCTTTTTTGGTTTTCAATATATATAGTTTGATTTTTGCATCTATTGTTTCATTACAATTTTTCAGCATTGGTCTGGCATCAGTGGGAGGAACAAAGATCATACTATCGGTTGCGTAAACGAATGAATACTAAATCTGAGTTTATGTATGACAGTCTTTGGAAAAGTTTAACTATTGTACTAACTTGATAAGCTTTAACACTGGACTGCTGCAAAAAATTTACAAAATATTCTGATGAATTAAAAAATTACAGCTAAATTAGTGTCGAGAAATTCAATATTTTAAAAACAGTATACGTTGAAGGATTTCTATGGCATGCAGAACTATGATGTATAAACGGGATTGGGGATTTTATTTAGTTTTGAAACTTGTTCGAAGATATTTTCTTAATATTTTTTTTAATTAATGGAGTCGTGAAAGTTACTAGATGAGGGCAGTGCGTTATGGGGTATACCCCATTCGTAGTCGATTTACGTCCAGACAAAACACAACATGCCCAAATGCGAGATTGTACAATGGTCTTGGAATAATCTAACAAAATGAAGGATTATTTTTATAGAAAGAAGTGCACATACTTTTCACAATTTTTGATTCGCTGGAAGTACTTGAATCATCGTCCAAATGGTTAATATTAATTATTACAGGTGCAATTTGAATATCGATCATATTTTCCAGATCCCATATCTTTGTTTCGATTGTCTCTTTAACGTGACGTGGTTTGTCCATCTAAGAAGGCTTGTCTTGCTGATTTAATGAAGAGTCAGTCCATACTTTAGGTTTTGTGTATCCTGCATTATTCATGTTTCATCCTAGTAATAAATCTTCCTGACCTGGTCTTTATTGATTTTAAATGAAATAATCTCTTGGCTGTCCATCAAAATACTATTTCTGCCCCGTTTTCTGTACTCAAAATGAAGTTCTTTTACTAAAATATAGAATGTGGTATTTTGAAAGTAGGTTAGTCTTCAACACTATTAACCTCCTGTAACACTTTGTCTATGGTGGGAAATTCATGTCCTCCAAAAAATTCATGAACTGATGGCATTCCGATCAAAGTTATCAACTACTGTATCCAACAGCTTCGTGAAATGCAGCCTCTTGCGTGGTGGAGACGATTTTCTGTTTTTTTATATTCGTTAACAATGTTGAAAATTGTCTTAGGACATAAGCCTGTTTTGTTCGCCACACGTCTTTCAATATCATGAATTTTCATTTCAGAATGCTCTAAAATTTCGCTCTTATAAACGTTAAGGACAATTTCTTTTGCCTGAATATTCAAGTGTCCCTTCTTGTCACGTTTTCGGGGAGGAGACATCACTGAAGAGGAAGTATGGCTGAAGGAAGCATTGGGAGAAATATACTCGGTTTCATTTGCTGTATCTGTAGACGACATGCTAACGTATAAACACACGCTATGTATGCCCCGAATATGAACAGTAACGGCTGGCGATACCCCGAGCCTGAGTTCTACCCTGTCGAATCCCGCACTTGTTCGTGGTTTTATGGCCGAATAACCAATAGTTGTTGCAACGCTTAGGCGGCTGCCGCTTTGCCGTGCTGCATCTATATACAGGGTGTCCGCAAAGTTGGGGTTTTCCTTTACACGACGTGTAGATCTTGAAAACATAAGCAATTTTTCTTAGTACCATATACACCAATGTCTTAAGGGAACCGAGATAAAGGGCTCTGCATCATCAAAAATATCTGAATACCGTCCTGTAGCCGCGACATCACCGACTGGTACAAGGTCACTGGTTCAACCCGACGACAACTGGGTCGGGGTCAGTGTGTCGAGTCAGTATGCAACCTTCAACCGACGGTTACGGTCACGCGTGTAGAGGTAATCGCGTAGACGAGAATTCCTCAACAAGCACTAGAGACGTGGCTAGAGAAGTGCAAGTATCAAAAACTAAAGTGTGGCAAACGCTGCGTGAAGAGGGGCTGTATCCGTTTCACATCCAACGTGTACAAGCCCTTCAACCTGACGATTTTCCAACAAGAGTGCGGTTTTGTGAGTGGTTGTTGCATCAACATGACAATAATCCGGACTTTTTGAAGTGCATATTGGTGACAGACGAATCTACGTTCACTCGTAATGGGGTGAATAACTTTCGCAACACTCATGTTTGGTCAGTAGAAAATCCGCACGCTGTCCGTCGGGCACATTTTCAACAAACATTTTCGGTGAATGTTTGGGCTGGCATGGTGAACGGTATGCTCATTGGACCATTTATTCTCCCAAATCGATTGGACGGGATGCAATACCTAGACTTTTCACGCAACATTTTGCCTTCCTTGTTAGAAGATGTGCCATTAAGTGTAAGACAATCAATGTGGTTTCTGCGTCTGCTCGGTAGCGCATCAGCTGATTTGATTTTCTGTTGGAGCGGTATGATTTCGGGCAGAGAAGTACTTAGCCCTTCTCGTCAACTGGAGAGCGAGTACTTTTTCCTTTATTTTTTTTTTACTTGGTCGCCCTCGTTTCACTACACATTACCTTTATTTGAAGGGTAGTTGTTTCTGAAAAGGAAAACCCCAACTTTGCGGATTATATAGTACAATATGACCTCATTGCAGATAAAACATTGAGGTACTGCTGGTAAATCAACGTTTTCGGGATAAATTTACGAGATATATTTTTCTTTAAAAAATTTAGGAATCAAGGCATCCGAAAGTTAGTGTCCGTAGCATAAAAAAGTTATGTTTACACAAAATAAAAATCAATTTAAGCATGAATTTTAATTTTTTGTGCACATTTAAATCAATTTTACATTTGAAAATGGGTAGTATACGAAATCAATAGTATGCTATTTTTGACATTACTAATGAAGCAGATGATTTTTAGATTTGCAATCAAGTACATATCCTTAGTCATGTATACTTACCATAAAACAAGTTTGTCACGTTATTCCCATGGACACATTCATGTTTTTGACACTCTCTTCTACCATTTTAACACAGTAAACTAAATTATCAAAGTTATATCCACCCATTCCACATCTGTAGCTAAAATGTCAAATAAAACACAACGTTCAATTTTTCAGTTTATTAAACTAAACTGGCAAGAAAAGATAACAGTATAGTCAACTTATCAGAATCAAGTTAATCTCGAATATAACCAACATAATAAATGAAACACATTTTTTTATTTTTAAGTCGGATTTGTTGAAATAATAATTATTCCTCAGGAAAAATACAATATTCACTCTAGCACACAGACAATTGTGTGCTATTGAGTAATATTTAGAAAAATCACAGGTATTCTTATTCTAACAATAAGATGAAATGCTCTATCATATTCACAACAATACTTGCATCTTTTAACAAGACTTTTGAGAACTACACTTGATGTTTCCTCTTGAGCTGCTATTATAACATACATTTTACAATGAAAGTGTATACTTAAAACACCAGCACTCCAACACGACAGTTTTTTTAAAACCAAATACAATATAGATCTACAAATACATAAATTTAAAATGTCATAATACTACTCTTAAAAATCAATGTGAATATGTACTTCTGACCGCTTTGTAACTGCAAAACAGTTCTATCGCTTATGAAATTCCACAAGAAGTAAGAAGTAAGTTCTGTTTATACGATATCATAAAGTTGGACAAGGTCATATCTTTAGCATAAATTAATGCAAAGTACTGCTATTTAAAAGATAGGGGGAAAGTGGCCGAATATCGCACGCACAGTGCGCTTTTTCTTTTACTAATTCGATTAGACCGTAGTATTCTGTAGTTTTAGTTTCGTGACACCGACACGTTAAGCCCAGTAGCTCTGATAACAAGTAAATGGCAGTAGTGCTGAAAACCGTGCATTTGGTAGATCACGAATTTTTAACAGTGTAGATTTTTTTGTAAAAGCGATAAGTGAAAAATTTTAATTTCTCTGTACATGTTATTTATAAGCTCTGTTCTTCATTTTACATCATTCAGAATATAACTTATTTCAAATATTGTTTTTTATTACTCTAACGTAAAAGTATCGTATGGCCTAATATCGCACAACAAGATGGGTCCTAATATAGCAGTGTACGATATTAGGGACCTTCAAAGAACAAAAAATAACTAGTTGTTTTTGTTCCAGATAAAATGAATTCTCAAAACAAACGGAAAAATGGGATAAGGAATCAATGGTGTTAAAAATAATGAAATGGGCTATCTGAAAGCATCCAAACTATTTAATGTCCCCAAAAGTACAAGGATTAAATAAAAAAATATAATTAAAACTCCAAGGATTAAATTAGTATGGGCATGGGCAGAAAGACGACACTACCAGAAGAAATGGAAACCCAATTGGGAACATACTGTTTAGAAATGGACAAACGTTTCTTTGGTTTGACTTTTTTGACGTACGAAGAATGGCGTTCCAACAACTTGCCTTGAGAAATAATTTACCTAATCCATTTTCACGTGAAAAAGATGTAGCTGGAAAAAAATGTCTTGCCCGATACCCCAATTTAATTTAAATAAAAATATAAAATAAAAATAAAATGCAACCACCGGATCTGGCATTTATGAGTCCATTTAAAACGTATTATTCTCAAGAGATTGAAACCTGACTTTGCAGAACATTTTCTGTTTATCAGATAGGCGAATTATTGGGTAACGCGTACTTAAAAGCCGCCACTGCGGAAGAATCCATTAATGGGTTCATGAAAAGCGGCATTTTTCCTTTCAACCGGTTTATTTTATATTATTACGACTTTGCCATTCACAGACAACGTGAAGCAATACCTCCACCTTCAACAGAGAATGATAAGACTCCTCATCCAGAACAAATTACTGGTTCGTCCAATAAAGAGAATTTAAGAAAGAAAAATGAAATAAATATTGCAAGAGTTAAGAGCGGTAAGACAAAGAAACCGATAAAAAACGGAATCTTTGGCAGAAACCTGTCTCTCCGAACAACACAAGTTCAAAGAAAGGTCACAGTGAGTCGAGTGAGTCGGATATATGTAAATGTGGAATTGGATGATGATTCTGACATGGATTGCACTTCCGACAATGAAGATAATTACGCAGAATGTATGTTTTGTTTGAGACTACTCAGAGGATATCAGAGGCGAAAAATGGATAAGATGTTACCAGTGTCTTAAATGGAGCCATGAGGAATGCTCAAATTCGTACAAAAACAAGAATTTTGTTTGTGATTTATATTTATCCGCATAAGGATCCTAATACCGTCCACCGAAAAGTTACCCAATATCGCATTTGCGATATTACGTAACCGTATTAAAGTGGAAAAAGTATCATTATTGCCTTTTTTATGTAATAAGAGATTTTATTTTCTAAATATATTTTTGATTCATGATGTGTTTTATTGATAATTAGGCTACATTTTCCCCTTATAATCGCAGCTTAAAATTACTTTCCTTCCAAGATACAGGTTACCAAAAAAAAAAAAGTGTGCGAGATTCGGCACTTTCCTCTACGTATTTTTACCAAAGGTAAACAGGCGCTTGGTATTTGATTGACGCACTATAATGCTGTCATCTTTCATTACTTCCCAGAATGTCACATTAAAATATAATACTCATAAAATAGTCTGCAAACGCAACTTACAAAAAATAGCGAAATCTTGAAACTATAACTAAACCGCGAAAACAAACATAAAAATTATGATTTCAAAAATAACTATTGAACCACACTCGGCAGCTTACTTAAGAACTCTGAATATACTAGAACATTCCACAAAACACGCATTAAATATAATATTTTGACTAGCTTATTAACATAGTAATACTATAGGTGTACAATAAAGTTGGAGCAAGATGTTAGGTGAGGAGTGCGTGCAACTTCAATGGTATCACAATTAAAGGAAGGGTAATCACATTTTTATTCCATCTTGTTTTTCAAACCAAAAAAACCCCATTGAGAAGTGCATGTCACTAAAACAGTACACAAAATGTGGTGAATGACGACGTATATATTTTAACGTGCTATTATGAACACAGTAACTCGTAGCTGTCTTAGCCTTTAAGTCACACGATTCATGAATTGTTCACGTTTTTTTCAATAATACCTAGTAAAAATAAAATCTTGAAAATAATTACGAACAAAAAGGTCAATAAAAAAATATATGAAGTAATATCCAACTACCAAGTTATAGTGCATTTCTGTTGAGTGCCTATAATGAGCAGCCAATATAGAGATATAGAGATTCTCTGTTGATACTAAACTAATCTAGATATCTCCCGCGTAGAGGCCTAAAAGCTAATTAGCTAGGAAACCCCTTGAAGTTTAAATAAATTCATGGCGTTATAAATCACACTTTGCGAGTGATTTTAATAACTTCACGATAAAGGAAGTTATAAAACTTGCAGGTTGTGATCTATCTAATCGGGTTTTAGGGCACTAAAAATCGCTATAAAAGATAGGTGTGGTAAACTCTAACAACCTCGGTACAATTTATACCTTTCCTAATTGGCAGGTGAGCATCTATTTAATTTTTATACGCATCGCTAATTTATCCAAGGTCAAGTTACAGTAGGTTGACAGTTTCATGGAAGTGGTGTTTTCAATCTGATAACATCCTCATAGTGTCCCTAAGGTATGGTTTCATAATAATATGTATAATGAAGAAATGCACTATATGTATCGCTTCTCACATGATAACATTTAAAATATTCATTAATTATATAGACGACCACTATATCAAGAACTTGTATTACAATGTAATATCTCAATTCAGGAACATAGCTTAAGATTTTTATCGAATAGTTCGTGGGCCTGAGACGATCTTGAATCTTGTCTATGTCCCTGTTGTAATTACAGATCGTGAAATGAAGAGTGAAAAGCAATGTTTGTCAGTTATCACAAGTATTTTTGAGAGTAATGTTGTCATTGGTCCCAGATTTTCACAAACATTGAGCTCATTGTAGATTATAGACCATCACAAATCTAGTAATTTAGCTTTCGTTCGTCCGACCACAGACGGCCCCACCCATGGACAGCTGTTTCGTGCTATCTGGCAACTCTTCAGCATGATGTAGGCTTCATCTCGGTGGACACCGAACGAAAGCCCAAAAACTGTACTCTATTTAGAGTATAAAATCTATCGGAACGAGACAGTACAGAGTGAATCAAATCAATCACTGCGGAAGTGAAAACAGCAAGTTGTCTGTTGGAACTTCATGCCAGTTCGCATTGTCAGCCAGGTCACCACTCTGAAAGCTAGATGCCGCCGATTCTTGTCCTATAGTAGATATGGTCTACTCGCCAATGAACAAACTAGTAACATAGCTTTCGTTCGTCCGACCACAGACGGCCAACCATGGACGTTGGCCCTTATTTATGACAAAAAATGTTTTATCTGATTTTCTTGATGCTACCCCAAAAATAAAGTTTCAATACTATGTAAAGCGGAGGTGTGCAAAATTCGGGTCGATTGGTATAACATAAGCCGCTTCGGCACTGTATGTCGCGTCTCTCACTGCGGGCATGTCTTGGACAGGTCGAATCTTGCTCAATTTGACGTACTGCATAGAACAAACGCTGACCATTTATCACATTATAGTAATGCTATTGCTGTTTCTCGTGTTATTTGGCAGTTGCAAACTTTCCGAGCATGGCTTCATAAATGACTTTAAGGAAACACAGCAAGATATTGCTAATAAGAAGCACAGCTTCGAAAATTATCCGCTAGAAGCTACCCTCAAAAAAAGCAGTTTTGAGCGCTTTTTTCTTCAACATGTGTGCAGTTGGACTGAACGAACAAGAAGGCGCAAGGTTAACAATACGTAAAACCGTATTGTTTTGTGAAAAGACTAGGATGCCAACCCAAGAAGAGAAAAATTGTATTCCGAAATTAAAGAAGCTGTATGAAGAACTGCGGAGGCATAAATCTGCTGGCCAGAATGATGACCCGGCTGACTGCGAACTGGCATACAATTCCAACAGATGTCTTGCTGTTGTCACTTTCGCAGTGGTCGACTCAGGTAATAGACGGTACTTTGTGCTGCCTTTGTTCATCAGAAATGTGTTTTAACTTCACTAAAACTGAAATTAAATACGGCATCGAGAATATGCTCCTACAATGCCATCTCAGTAAAAGACCAGCATTTACATGTTATGTGAATATAGAGGGCAGAAACAAGGCTTTGGAGTTAAAGTTGAGTTGAAGCCAACTTTAGTATTTAGGTGGATTTTCAGGTTGTTGTATGAAATAATCAGTAGTACAAATTGTTGCATCTTGGAAAAACCTTAGAGATTCTAAATACATTGAGATTCTTTAAGCATTACACTTAAACTTTACCATCATAGCTTAAACAAGTCATGAGTTTTCAGTAGTTCGCGATTTTCCAAAATATCTGTTCCCACTTAAAATTCAAATATACATTATTATCCTCTGTCTCACGTATAGGCATAAACAGTCTACCTCATAAATTTGTATGAGAGCAATATGGCGGAGAATTTAATTCCAATTCCATTTAATACAAAAAAATCATGACGCCGAAATTGTAAGATTTCCTTATACGAAACCTTCCTATTTCTTGGCCCATGTACAGAGACATTAACTGATGCAGTATCTCCCCGAAAGTCACAAAAAGTCATTGAATGTCGCTTATCCAACCTAACACTTGCTCCTTATAGCTAGTTGAAACCAGTGCGAATTGCATATATCTCTAATATGGCTACATGTTCCGATGAGTAACTACCTAATACACATAATCCCCTAATGAGGATGAAACATGTTACGCTTGATAAAAAATAATACTCAAACGGAAACCCGCTGCACGCAACCGAGAGAAACTCTAAAAACAACAGCCATACTTTTGCGAGCGGAAGAAGATTCGAGGAAAATAAATAAGAGCAACAGAAAAATACTATGCTGTGGCGATCGGAAACGTATGTGAACTCAAACGAACGGTGGCTTGCCTTCGTCGTAGGCCATTTGGGTTACGGAGTATGCCCTTTTTTGTTTTTCTTTAAGGAAATGTCGTCCACGTCCTCGCCTTTCTTCACCTCGGTGAAACGCTCTCCCTTAAGGCTCACGATCTTGTTATCCCTAGTGAATAATATATGGTAAATCAACTTTGATTTTTTTTATTTGGCCAAGCTAGGTCAATCTGTAGAGGCAATGTCAGTAGGTGATTATTTTACCATAGTTGAAATAATTTTGTAGTTTAGGTGTTGACTTGACCAAAACGCAAAGTTATGGATCAATTCTTGAGGTTTTTTGAATGTTTGTGAAACATCAATCTCTAATCCTGGATTAAGGTGTTTGCCCATTGTACCGTATCATAGCTTAGAATCAGATCAACCATGTAGATGTCCCTATAGGTACCTCAGCATTTTGTTAAACAAAATCAACACATCGCACGCCACTGGACAGCGCGGCATCACCATCTGGTGCTGAAACGGAAGAGAGTAGCAAAACATTGTACGACACTATTAACGAGGCGTTTCTGAATACAGCAGGATCTGCTTTACCGATACAAAGGTACACCGCGCTGGTAGTAGTGTACGATGTGTTATGCTGCTCTTCCATTTGATACCAGAGTATAGTCCCGTCCATGGGAGGGATACTTCATATAGAATACTTTATATATTTAATGTTGCAATTGGACAAGCTTTTATCAAAAAGTTCGTGGACTTGAGGTGTTCTTGACCTCTTAACACTTCGGTGCAATTACATATTACAGCAACATTTTTCGGTTATCACAAGTATTTTTGGAAGTAATCTCATTGGTCCCAGATTGAACATCCTTTCAAGGAAAAATGAGAGTGAACTTCCTAAGTACATTTGCACAATTCTAATGCGTTCCTCCATCGTGAAACGACCCGTACTTATAAATGACATATGCACAATATAAAATGTCTAAGCAAAGTCGTTGGAAAATAGCGCCAAATCTAAATCCGTAAGCAAATATTAGGCTACCCACTATAAATTATGATGTGTGCACTATAAGGTATAATTATACTTTCCATTTCACTACAACAGTTGACATAACTGTCAACACGACTAATTTTGTATATCGTTTTTATAATGCAAATTACTTAAAATAACGACAATTACTATCACATTTTGGATGAAAATCAATAAAAAAACCCTTTTACCACTACTTATTCCAAGCGTGATCAAACGCCGATCCGAGATATGTGGCAGATGTTTGATGTAAATACCAATTTTGTGTTTTGAACAATTTGGGTTACTGTGGAGCTGTAGCATTGGAAATGGCATGATATTTTAAAACATGTTTTTTATTAGCTTATCGATCCGCCTTGTCTTAGTAATCCCATGAAAGTAAAAAACAAGGACCTTACCTGTACCGAACGAGCTTCTTTGGCTCCACCTTAGGTGCGACAGGCCGATGTTCCTTGTTGAAGGCATCCTTGTCGATGTACGAATATCGCTCGATAATGCGGTTCTTCAGTTCAGAATCATCAATTGTTTTCTTGGTGACCTGAATAGTCAACGAGCTATTCGGGCTGAGGCATTGACCGTTTTCCTGACGATCGATCAGAATTTGAGTGGCACGCTCAATATCGCCGGCTGCTATGGTAAGGCAGTGTTTAACCTGAAATGGTAAATACATTTTAACTGACTTGGCAGAATGAAATCGAAAGGATTGAATTTTCTTTTTGACATTTGACTGAGCTGAGTAGAAGACTGATACCAGCTTAAGGTGTCCATAGGGTGTGGAGCTCTCGTAAAAATGAGATTATTGACTATTTTGGAAGAAAAAAATGATAGTTTGAAAGCTTTTCTCTAGTCATGTTATTCATACTAGCAAACAAAATATTCAATTGCTACAATGTTAGCAAAAAATGATTGAAGAATGAGAGGGGTGGTGCTGAAAATTAAAGAGCAGAGTGGTGCTTTCAGCTGCTTTGTTACACCAAATATTGATTGGATTGGACTTTGAAGACCTGAGGGGCTCACTGTATTGAGCTACGTCCCAAAATAACTATAAAAATGAGCATTTCAGGAAAAAACGTAAAATGCAGTCGAAAAATAATAATGAACAAAACTGAAAATGTGTCCGGTGACACCCCCCAGCCGGGTGTCGCAGTAATTTGGTACAGCTTGACGCTTTTATGATGCAGTGCTTTACCATAACTAATAAAAAGCACCTAAACGCGTGTCCAGTTCTAGGAATGACGAAGCTTTGATAGCAGCAGTGGTGGCGTAGTAGTGGTAGACATTATGGATTTACTAATCCTACTGCGCGGGTTCGAATCCCGTCCCAAGAGAAAATTTTCTTGTCCGTGTGCCGTCCCCCATTTCCCCTGTATCCCCCTATAGCCTCATGGTACCCATGGGTATGTTTAGGCCTTAGGCCTTTGTGGCGATTCAAGTATAAAGAAAGGAGACATTAGTAATGGCTTGCCTGAAATCGGACGCTCTACGTACAAGATTTGTGATCCGTCAGTAGAATAGAATATAGGTGGACGTCAATATTCATACGGATCATACTGAAGATTTAGCATTTGCCTGAGAAAACGCTTTGGCAAGAAGCTCCGTTATCTATTTAGAGCTAGGAAGCACTTTTTACTACCTGCTTCTGTACAATGCTCAGATGGGACTTGCTTTGTAATTTTGCCAATCCTTCGTGCGGTTCAAAGGTGAACTACCCGAATCTATGTTATTTTAGATCTGCTAGTCGGCTTCTGATCTTTATTTTGATTTTATTGAGCACTGTACATTGAAAATGACCATTCAGTTGTTGCTAAGGTATCCTGCCATTCATGCGCCAAAATCATTTATCGACAATAAGCTTTTTGGATGTGTAGTTTAAGAAATAAAAATTTCATCTAAGACAGCTTACCTCAATGGCACAAACTGTAGGAACATCTCTTGTAAAACATCCATTTCATCAGTAAATCACAGCATGAACTATCTGTGGATCCACCATCGCTAACTTCTGACAGCTTATGAGCCCTTTTTGGAACTTCTTCTTCAGTAATACTGAGGGTCCTTATTCAAAGATCAGCATTAAGAGTATTCAAGCAACACTGACACATTTTTATTTTAATTGAAAAGCTGAGTATAGCCTATTTAGTTTCTATTAAAGTTGACAGAAAAGATTTTGTGATTTGGCAGCTAGGATACCTGGAGTTTTATGTGTGGAAATATGAACATAGAAACAAGTGATTGTCTTGTCAGTTAATGCAGAGCTGATATCTGTTATAATGTTTAATTGTAGACAATACCTGGATTTATTTTTGGTAAAATCTCAGGTAACGAAATATCAACATTGATATTTCTCTCCTCTTCTGAATCAGACTGCTGCAGTTTAGATGCTAATTCAAAACATCCATTGATATACAGTAGCATGGTTGATTGACTCAAAGTCAGGGAAATAAGCACTCATCATTTCACAAAAACCTACAATTCAAAAATAATGAAAGGTGACCTTAGTTAGTACTTCACTTACTCATGTTTGAAAACAATTTAAATGCTTTAAACTAGTAGAAAACAATTATTTGCATACCTTCCCAGAAACATGGAAAAATAAACAGGTTTCCTAAAATCTCATAATGAACTAAATGAATGAAAAGAATTTAAGGATTTGCTCACGGAAAAATCATGTAAATATTTGCAGTAAGGTAAGCAAACGGTATTGTTTTAAATAAAGACTTCATTTAAACAAGAAGTAAATCTTTAAAATTGGCTACTTTATGTGTCTAACCAAAATAATTTTGTCAACACCTATATATGAAGGAATTATTGAGATTATAAAGTGTGTGAGGTTTTGTGGGTGTTAGTAGGGCTTTTAGCACATAATCTATTGAAATGAATTTTTTATTATATAGGGTCACAGTATATAGTACAATAGTTTACTCTGCATAGCACCAGAGGGAACAATTATTTATTAACTACTTGTAGAAGACCTTTTACATGGTATATGCAGAGAAAGTCTTAATAGTATTTACATAATAACTGAACCAACCATAATCAAGAATTCATAACAATTAGCAAAAATTATAAAAGCTTCATCAGATTATTGAATGAAAACATATTTACTGTGGTGCTACTAGACTATAGACTATATTCATATAATGTTATTAAAGTGATGGAGAAAAACTGTACTTGACCAATTGAATCTGTACTCTGTGTAAATGATATATATTTCACTGTAACAGGTACATAATTACATAAAATGTACACAAAAGGTTATTCTAACTCAAACTGAAGAAGAGAAAACTGTTCAGCTTCATATTAACACTATAGCAAAGATTATATTAAAGCAATTTATGTTAGTTATATATAAATATAGCAGAAAATAATATCTTACAGAAAATTATCATCTTTATACTTACTCCAGTTTGAGATTGTTCAGTACGACATCTCAAATGGCTGTGACAGCATTTGCATTTTGAAACAATTATAAAGAACATTGTAAGGAACTAATATTATTACCTTCAATATCAAAAACAGGTTCTGTTCCAACATCCTCCAAGACTGCAATAACGTATGATAGAACAATTTCGTTCAATCAATTGATATTAGCCTCAGTTATGTGAGTTTTCAGAAATTCAAATAAAGATTCTTTGATTTTGGATTCTTGCTCTGCAATATTTTTTCTTCGACATTCTTTCGGATAACTAGCAAAATATACAATAAAATTCCCTAATTAACGGTCATTTGTGCTGCGAAAACAAATAATGTATAACAATAACATTTCCTATGAATTTATGTGGTGGGGACACAATGTAATTTGGAGATAATGAGAATAAGCTGTATCTAAAAAAATAAATGCGAAATAATAACTTAAAGTACCCACTAATTTAGTTGTACAGGTAAATTTCGAAAGCACTTATAACTTATTAGCAGTAAATTAAATTTTTATTTTAGTATTTTAGTTGAGTCCAATCTGAATTCCAATCAATATAGTGGAAAAGTTTATTTATGATAGATGGCGCTGTTATATTTTAGCACAACTAGCTGACAAATGTGTCAATCTGTCATTGTCAATGAGACAAGCATGCTAGCCAACGCTTAAACTCAAAAGTAAATCCTTTTTAAAAGTCGTCAAACGTCAAGAACTAGGTCAATATTTTACATTTTACTTTCAATACGTGTGTTCATATGTTGAGATTATTTGCGAAAAATAGAAACCACTGTGATAGTAGAGAATCATGTAACGGTGGCGCATAAGTATTTCTTCCAGATTTTATGGCTCTTGCACTTCTTTCTTAGCGAAAAATCGGTCCCTTATCGCTACAAAGTTTCAGTTTCTGAGAATGGTCTAAAAAGTGAATATGGCAGAAAAATTGGGTTTAGGGAACGAAGTGAGGGAATTAAAAATAGGACAAGCTTTACCAATCCCCAAATCAACAGCCTTCCACACTGTAAAAATGTGAGTATGGTAGGTATTGCCTTTAACTTCCATGTAACAATTTTGACTTGGTTCCAGATGACTTCAAACCTGCATCTGTAGATACTAATAAGAAGCAACAGTAGACGTTGCTGGGAATAATCAGGTGACTGTAACAGTGCCACATTTAGGTAAGTTAGCCTGACTCTCTAAATATGTTTAAAAACTGCTAAGCGAAAGAATTTGTATGAAGGGATAGGTTATGCTCATCAAAAATAGTATCTAAACATTTAAGCTTTGATACGATACCAGATTGACGCTACATCTGGTTTGATTCGGCATAGGTGATTAATAGCCTCTGAGAATAATTGCTGATTTTGATCCTAAAATTATGGTAGGATACTGATCTTCAAATTCTGTGGGTAGAGCATAAGATATGATATTTGTGCAACTCTGTATTTTATTTTAAGTTAAACTAAGGTGATAGTATCTGGGACTAGGAGTAGTATAGAAATTGCCTTGTAACTCATTTCAAGTTATTATAAGCATGCACAGTTATTCCTAGTGTCTTCCTGCTTGATGAAGTCTCTTTTGGCCATGACCTCCCTGTTTTCCTTCCAGTTTTTTTCTCCTTTAAGTTCCTTATTGCCTTGCTAGAGGAGAGGAAAAAAATGAATAAGAGCAGGAAGGCCATGGGTGAAAAAGATGTTCTCCAAAGTAGTAAGGCAAATAGGAATGAGAATCATTACAGTCCTTGACACAATTTGTGGCTATAAAAAGGCACTAAAGGAATAGGCCTCTTGGATAGGCTTATCCTTCATCGTTTTGCACAAATGCTACATTTATTAGAAAAAAGTGAGATGAAATAGGGTGCCTTCTTAAGACATCTTATTCCAGTAATTTAGTATTGAATGATCTGCTTTATGTGGAACATTGGTATTATGATACCATTTTATGTTATAAAATTGTATATACAACTGGCCATTTTTTGAGGTTGTCAGTATATTTAATACTTGTTTCATTGTTTGCATAAATTTTTCAGATGGTGCTGGGGTTCCTCAGACAGTATTTAAGGGTTCACAGAGGCCATATCAGAAAGAATGTGTCCTCATAATAGATAGAGCAACTGGTGAAATCACCTTAGAAAAATTAAGCTATAATATACAAGTTAAGAAAACTAGAAGTGAATATAACAAATTGCACCAGGGTAAGTGATCTTGTGTCACTAACATTTATATAAAAGAGATATATAAAAGTTCAACATTGGTACACAGCAAATTTTTGCATGTCAAAGTACCTAAAAATGATAAATCAGTTTCGATTTGCCTCTTGTTTTGCTTTGAATGTATCTTGATTGAGAGTTTTTTTAGCTGTGCTACAAGGAATTCAACAAATTGAAGTGATGATTTTTAAAAAATTAATTGGCACCTGTTTGCATACATACATACACATAAAAATGATGAACATCATTCAAATAAAGTGAATAACAAATTAAAATGGTATTTACCATTTTGTCTTGATATCTACAGATCCATTCAAGCGAGTGTGGTTATCAGTTTGGTTATGAGATCTGTGATATCATGAATCAGCTGTTATATGTCATAGTTATCATCGTAAAATTGTGGTATTTACCCAACTCGGGGTAGTTTATATTTCTGGTTATTATTTGAAATGTGACAAGTTCCAATTTTGCCGGGTATTGGATATTTTTATTGTACTTCAGCTTCATTTTTGGGAAACTTAATACAGGCTGACTTCAGTTTTAGAATAAAGTAGAGCACCTTATTAATTATAATCATTACTGTTGCTGGGGACACTTTAAATCTAGTTCCCATACTTAACAAAGTATCCTGTGTAGCCATATACCCCAAGAATATTAAAATATGGCCATATAAACTCACTGGATGATGTCCACCTGCATACAGTTTTGCTAATATCTTTTTTTCATCGCTTTTTCCTATCATTTCTGCTAAATCAATAAATGTTTTCTTTGACATGCTGAAAAGTTTAGAGGATTGACAGTTATCATAGCTACAAAGCCTTGGTTCCATCATTAAAAAAAAATTATGAAAAAAACATTTCTCCCATTAATATTATGGAAAGTTTCTTTTTTAAACTTTCCATACACCGTTGTAGATGAAATGCACCAATTATTAAGTGATGATAATAATAATCAGAAATTATATACGCGCTTTTCTAAAATAAACAACTTGCAACAAACCGCGGTTAAGACCAACGCGTTCAAGCGATTCGAGTAACTGACGTCATCAACCTGTGTGTCATCTTGAACCATATATAACCGCGGTACATAACATAGAACTTTTGGTTATTCACTTGGATTTGATTATCATGACTTTAACTATCAAGTTCAAGTCACTTGGGGAGGTCAACTGGTTTGTGTCAAATTGTTTCACCTGTGGTAGTCATTGTAACTGCTAAATTCTAAAGCCATCTTCCATTAATTTTTGTATTATATAGGATTTTTGCTGGACAAACTTAATGCTGAGGCTAGTGAAACTTTCTATCAATTACTGGCAATGTTTGTAGATGATAGTACCCTGCTCAGTTTTTATTTGTAGACACACACCTAAATTTTTGTAGATGTTCCATTGGCCATATAGCTGTGGAGTTGCAGAAAACAAATGTGATGATAACATATGTTTCCTTTATTTTACAGACCGCTTGTCCTCAAGCCAGGGCTCAAATTCCGGCAGCGGCCGATCGCAAACACCTCCGGTAGCCGCCCCCACCCCGCAGCGTGTCTCCACCAAGACACGGGTAACCACCAGGCAGGAATCGCAACAATGCCGAACGCATCACCACCAGCATCCCTCATGCTGCCGCCAAACATTCGCCCCTTAGGGCTAGTCCTTCTCATCAACATCGCAGCCCCAGCATGCGCGATCAGGTTATACCGTCGCCTATGTCGCTCTCACAGCCTGCCATGCACCTTACGAACAACGAGTTAGTATTACATTTTTTTGTGTCAATGTTTGGAAAATACCACTTCTTGCATAATCCACATGTTTTTGCACCAACTTGATAGTTTGACCAAAGTGAGGGTAGGCCAAATCAGTGATCGGATAGAAACGGTGCCAACTGCATTAGGGGATACACATGTGACCTATGGTGGGTGAACTTGTCGAGACGTCATTCAAGACAAAATGTCATTGGCAGACCCTGAGGCAAGGATAAAATACGCGCCCTCCTCCCCTATTGAGATTTTTTTTCCTCCTCCCATGACTCTGCACCTTGAAGCAACTGCCTCGCTTGCAGCCCCTGATCAGTGGTGCTAAACTACTTGAAATTATGACATATGTATATAAATATTGATACAAGTGTACTATTGTGGCGTTTCACCCACGATTTTCGATAAAATGCAGGCACCTTGTAAAAGGTTTTGTAAACAACCATACATCGCCTGTGACACAAAACTGTACTCCTACTATTCTCCACATTATGAATGCTATAGTATTGCACTTATAAAATATATGGAGGAAACTAAACTCGAGTGTCTGTTACGTTTTGACGTTTACTGAGGTGAACAGCTGATCAGCAAGTAGCATATTTTTGTATTAGTCTGTAACTTTGGCAATAATGAATTGAGTGTAAAGATCATATTCAGAGGTGTTATTCATATTTCTAGATACTTTTAGTGACTGGAAATTTTGACAATGAAATATATGAAGTATAAGTATAAGAAAAATATTTATTAGAAAATTATTATAGTTCTTCTGGGATTTATTGTTTATGAGGTAAGTCAATAGAACAGTGTTGTGTTTTCCAGTAGCTCTAATTTTACATGTAAAAATAATATAGACATGTTTCTGGTTAATCATCAGCATATTTTTTTTTTTGCTTTAGGACCTAATCCATGCAGCCAGAAACTAGGTTTGTTATATTTTACGTTTCTAATTATGGACAAACACAAGACGTCACAACATCCATGGCGAAGGCGACACGACACTCTGACCCACGCGGCCAACCGAGGTCCCCTATCAACATAATGTTATACAAATATTGTTGTTTCGTTGCTTTTTAAAATCTTATTGTATTCCAAGTTCTAAAATGTGGAGATGATTAACAAAGCCAAGAATTGTTTATCTGATTTTATTCCTACCGGACTTGAAATGTAGTCATGATTATTAGCAGTCATTTTCCTTATAGCGTCACTTTCATTATTGCAGATCCCATTCACAAAGTGCCCTAGCTAGCTTGCCACTAATTGGAATAGATGACTACTCAGATCCAGTACCAACTCAACAATATCACCACAATCAACATCACAACACACAGTCTCATCCACTTCAAGCTGCCTCGCATCAAGTAAGTTAAAACTCCATTTTATCGAATTATTTCATTGAAATATTAGTCAAAAATAATATCATGATAAAAACAGATATCCATGAGTGGTAGGTTGGGCATCTTCTTGTGTGTGGCAAGCTGCCTCCATTGTGGGAAGTGTAATATTCTGTGCGTCCTGTTGGTGTTTGGAGTTTGTGAATCGCGTCATCCTTTAAAGCTCCTATCACTATCAAGCAGACAGTGCAGAACTTTTTTGCTAACCCATTGGATGTAGTTAAATACCATTTTAGCTCAACCTGGATACTGATAAACTCTTTTCGAGATTTAAGTTTCCATTGTCATTAAAGCCACAGTTAACTTGATTGAAAAATTTAGTGAAGATTCACATGGGTACGTGTTCACGGGTCTGTTAAAACTATGAGGCTCTTGACAGCGAATCAGCATGCTGGATGGCTTCACCAACATCTCATCTATAATGACCTTTTCTGATTGTCCTATGTCAGACCACCTGTTGACACTCAATATTAATGATTAATATGAATGATTTGAAATAGAAGATTGGTTCTATAGAGCATACTGTATTTTCAGACGTCAGATATCGAGAACCACGTGGGTACCATCTCGGACAGCTCTTCCTCGTCGTCCAGCGATAGCGACGACGGTAGCAATCAACGGTTAAGCGGCAGTAATAGTACCAATATGAAATTCGGCGGCGGTACCGCTGCCAAAACGAACGGGTACAGCAACGGTGGTGGAAGTTTGGCACCACCGCAACCACCGGTTGTCAACAAGATCGACACCCATTTGCTCAGTGACGATCTGTGCCTTTCGGAGTCGGGATCCGATTCCGATTAACGTAAGAAAGGTAAGACGTTCAATATAACTTAGGTTATACCAGAAGTTCGATGTTCATGACGGTAACATACAGGGTGATTGGAAATTCGACCTATTCCCTGAAAGTGGTGATTCTAGAGGTTATTTGTGATAAATTAATCCCCATCAACTGGGGGTCGGAAATGAGCGGTTTCCGAGATTTCAAGATTTTTTAAGAATTTTCTGCTTCTGATCAATACAATTTTTTTTAAATCTACTCATTTCTTGGAACTAAATTGATGGTTTTCTGAGAGCTGTGAAACT